TACAGAGATTAGATGAAACGAGAATCTTATCGAGTTACGAACGTGAAGGTTCCCGAGAACGTCGCCTGTGCCACAGTTGACTTCCTTCGATATGTGTCAAGTATTGAGATCATGAGAGCTGAAATAAACTCAGATGATTACGTCCAACACATATTTTATTCATTCGCTTCCCAATCCCTCGTCCGTCAGCGACTCCGCTGGATAGCGGGAGATGCTTGGCAAAGGAAGAAAGTCAGAATGTCGAGGGTCTTCTGCGGCTATGCTGTAAAGCGAATATATGAAAGAAAGTGAAGGCTAGGCAGCCCAGTTTCGGGCCCAAAGGTTCGAGCCTGGATCAGCATGTACTCGTATCGGAGCTGATTCAGGGGGGCGTATCCTCCTCGTTGTTCTCCTTCACTCCGGAGTCCCAGAGACACATGGCTTGCCGTGTAGCGATAGACGAATTTCGACTTGTCGCGAGAATCCAAGAGGGGACGCTCGGCCCAACGGAACCTTGCCCGCCCTGCCGAGCTTCCGCCGACCTGGCACGACTCCGAACTCCCTCCTTTCTTCCCGGCAAACGAGAAACCGGCTTGACGCGCTCAAGACAGGGAACCCGGCTGCGACTCTCCGTGAGGAACGGAAAAACTCCATCGAGGCTTGCGTGAGCCGCACGGCATTGTATGGGTCTACGAGCTTCTCTCAGCAGGAGGAGCATAATCGGAATCGAAGGAGACTTGGCAATCAACCGAGACACGTCGATATTTTCCCGGGAGACGGAGACGTTTCGCGTTCCGGTGGCCGAGCTACGACAACTCGGGCAGCTGCAAGTGCCATGTCGAGAGAGACTTGCCGCTGAATGGATAACCAATCCGAATCCCATTATGACGAAAGCACGATTCCCGCTGGTCGCGCTCAAGGAGAGCGATCATCTACAGCGTCGAATTTCGGAGCCTGAATCGTGAGCTTTTGAGGGACGCTACAAAGATAACGGCCTACGAATGCACATCAGAGAGCATCATTTGTGGATGAGGTTGGAGTCTACTCGACTCCAAGGAGACTCTCCGAGCACCGACCGATGCCAACTCCCTGACTAGCCTTAGAAACTCGGGCACAGACGTTAGATCTCTCAGACTGAGATTCAGAGAGCTATGACTTCGCATGTACCGGGTTTGCGCTGAGTCGAGACTGGAGATCTCCGCCTGCCATGTTTCTATCATAGGGGTTCCCCTTTTCGAACACATTGGTCTAACGGAAATTTATTGGTTGCAAGTCCCTTTCATCGTTCTTGTGTGAGTTGACAGAGATTTTGCGTCGACTTGAGCCGTGGTTGGGTCGAAAGCGAGAGAAATCAAGATGTCGTTGTGAGTGAGGCCGAGAGCCCAAGGCTTCCGATCCATGACCAACGGGTAGCGCTTCCAGCCAACAGCTGATGTGACTGTCAAGTGGTACGGCGCGACGTCGACACCTCGTCTGTCCTGAGTTCGATCGGTCATCTCGCGAGAAGGCTTCGTGGCCGAGCTCCGATTACATATTCAAGAAGAATTTCTATTTCCGCAACCAGGTTCCTCCAAGATACATACATATACCAGATGCAATTATGAGATGGGAGAGCTCTGCGCTCGATTGGGTCAGAAGGGAAAATCTTTCCAACGCTGGACTTTCCGCGCCGGTCTCGGACGGCAGCCTCATCTGAGAGATCCCGTCCTCGGTCTCGCTGGTTTGCGCGAGTTTTCAGAAAGATATGATCACCCTGGATCATGTATCCAAACGTGAATGAGACCGTTCTGACGCGCGTCATTGCAATAGAGCGGAATTGAGCATTGATGGGAGCAGTGATTCCTGCAGACCTAATGGCAAATTATTGGGGCAAGCTACTGAGATAGCTCATGTCTGATTTACAATGGCTAGCATCCAATATCCTCTTCACGAAGATTCTAGTTCTCGCTCTGTGGTTCGCGGTGCTTTGCCGAAGGCTCACGGGCTATCGGATAGAGAGCAGCTTGCCCATAGGATGATCATGAGTCAAGAGTGAATCTCATCTGTTAGATGAAGAGTGTAGTCCACAAAGGCCCTGCGGAGCTCCGTATCTTTAGGTGCTTGGGATAATTTCACCTTCAGAAGTCAAGGAACGTCCGGCCATTGTTTCGTGGGTATCTCACCATCAGGCGCCCAAGGTACAGAGAATCGCCGGTATACGGGGCTCACCAATCTCGAGCATCTCCCGCATATATCGTCGGGAAGGGATGTGCTCCCACGGCAGCCTTCGGCCTTCGGAATCCCGGAAAAATCAGTATTCCTTGCGGCCTTCTGCTCACTGTCTGAGGTATATGTACTAGAAGCGTCACAGTCATTCGGTTCGAGCCGCGGCGGCGTATAGAGAGAGGTGGGGTAGACTTTTGGCCGGTGGGATCAAGCCTTTCCTCCGAGGTAAAACGGGAATCGATAACTAGCCCATCTCCGAAGGGATCGATCTCTTATGTGATCGTCCCTATGAATCAGCCGAAGCCGACGGCATCCCGGAGTGTTCTTGAAAGGGAAGATTCTGTCTCAAGGATCTGGGGCCTCTATTCCCGGAGAGAAGATGAGCTCCCCGGAAAACGGGTTCCTCATCGGATTTCGAGTGACGTGAACAACATCAGATTCGTGCCTCGGAGTCTAAAATCCGCGAATACAGACGATCGGCCGTTGGAAGGTGTATTGGCAAACAACGAGCTCCGTAGGCTGCTTTGAGAGCGCTGGACCGAGGCGGTCTACCTGTTAGGCAGCTCGAATCAGAAGCGTTCGCGTCTACAACCACCTTCTATTGTGTTTTTTCTACAGCGACGAATGACGAGGATCTCGCGGGACTGACCCCTCACCAGCCATCCAGTACGCCCGCCCGCCCGGCCAACTTGATAGTGGTGGCCAACAGTCACGGTCGGATCTATCCGCTGCTTTGGCCCGATGCTTCCATACTCTTTCTCCTGTTCCCTTACGACAGTTCGTTAATGATCATCGTCCACATAGGCATGCTGGAGCGGACAGTGTGTGAAGTTCCGATTCGAGTCTCTTCACTTGTTCTTCACTTCTTGAGCTGCTTCACGTCGTGGTTTCCATTCTTCTCAGTTCGATACTCGGAGAGAGTAGGTGAAATACGAGGGTCCCACGGGAATCAGCATTTCGCCACCAATTACAACGAAAACAATATTATTGAGATTAAGGCTCTAATCCGGGTTGCTTCCGATCAGCCAGAATCTGCCTGGCGAGGGAAACTGGCCCGAGCTCCCTATAAGCAAGCGACTCGGTGTAAATATTACGATTAAGCGCATGGTAGACCCTGTTAATCTTGACCGACTGATGATAAGCAAGGACACTATAATTTACGACGATCAAGGATTTCGCCGCGCGATGGGTGCTCATCGGGGTCCTCTAAAGCGGGACGTGAGGATGATTGATCTCTTTTTCGCAATTTTCAGGTGATAATGAGCTGAATCTAGAAGCTCCTGAGGTTCCTTGAGGTACGCTCGAGAAGTCTGTTTGAAGCACCGCGCGGTCAAAACGGCCAAAGAGACACCGCGCACATCCAGGACAGTGTAATCGAGCGGGAGTGTCTTCAAAGTCCAGATGGTTTCCCGGAACGAGAAAGACCGCACCCTTCTTCTCGTATAAGTTTCGAAGACTTCGTTCCAAACACCGTGAGAGGCCGAGAATCTCTCCCGGATCGCGGCCGCTCCGAGTCTGGGATCGGGGAAATCACAGGAATGGAATCCGCTGGAGTTCTCGAAGTTCATCATATCGTCCCGCTTCTCTCAGGGATGAATGAAGCTTCACAGATCTGCCAGAATGCAGGAGAATCTCGATACAAGATAATTACCTACATGAGAAAGTGATTTTTTGCGATTGCCCTCCCCCGACGAAGCTCGACGGCGGCAATGCCCCACATCGTCCCTTTGCAGAAGGCTAAAGTTCGGTCTAAAATTCTGACTCTCCTGCCTAGCTCTCTGTCTGGGTCCTGAACGGAATCGTCTCACTACCTATTCTCCTACTCCATTGGGATATCCGTCGGATCTCCGGTTTCCGTCAATTCCGAGAGTCTGAGTTTCCGAGAGGTGGCAGAATTTTTCGCGAGCGATCAAATATTGATGATTGCACCGAACTCAACATCGGCTCAATTCAGGTTTCGATTCAAAATCATCCGAGCCGGCGCGGACCGTTCATGATGAGGAGCATATGCGTTTCGATTGTGATATTCTCAATGAGCCCGCCGAATTCTCTGAAGTTTCCTCCGTGGTTTTCATAGTCGAAAAGAGAGAGACTGCTCAGCCGATCCCCTCCTCTCAAAGAACCAGTCTCCTTCACCGAGCGCGGCTATGTCAGCGTTGGATCCGTTGTGGGACAGACCCTCACAAGTGGCCCTTTCCTACGAGGACTCGCGTGCACACTGGACGCGTTGTTCTCAAGAGAGCTCAGACCGCGTTACGTTGTGATCCAGTGAGTTTCGTGAATGTTCTTGCAATCACCCCGTATTCGGGAGAAACCGTGAACGTCCACCGATGCCTCGGCTACTGTTCTGAAGTTCGCACATCCCGCAGCCGGTTGGGGCTTCGTAACTCGCTCTGTGCTTCGCCCTAAACGCCGTCGACTTCGTCCACGCTCGCGATCGGTGCATAGTCGTGCGTAGCGCTCATCAGCTGCTCACCGATTCCAAGCGTCCAGCATCGAGGCCAGTCGTCGTGCGACGGCGCATCGACGAACATCCCGTGCTGCTCGAAACTCGGGAGTCGCTTCCCTGGCCGAGTCAGAATCCGCAGCTGATTGCGGCACACATCTCGCTGACTGAGGCGACCCGGAACCGCTCGAAGTTCTGTGGCACTCGCGGTCTCAAACAACGCGGTTCGACCATCCCGTTGAGCGTGATTGAAATCTAGACTCGGCCAGACGAACAGTGGCCAGAGCACGGTGAAGTTCGTGGATCATTGGTGTCTGATGTTCGACAACATCGTTTAGCGAGGGCAGCCCCTCTCGTGTCGACGCGCGTAATGCACAGAGTGGGCCCAATGGATCTTCCACCTCCTCCGCCCCTTCAGCCGATTCAATCTTTGCCTCCGTTGGCTCAACAAACAAGCGACATGGCCACCACGCAATTATTGTCCGGCTTTTTCAACGAATACTCCTCTACAGCAACCCTCGGCTCCAGTCAATCGGTGAGTATCCCATGCATTCTACCGTCAATAACTTCCTGGCTGCGAGAGCCAACACGAAGAAGGATAGGTCCTCCCCACCAAAATTTCATTTCGTATCATGAGCTCGAAGTGGCGCACTCAAAAAGTGCACTCGACGGAAGTTCGCATCGTGACATCATGTAAGGCGAGAGCATTCCAAAACAATTCCGCGAGCGATCACCACTAGGACGTGGCGGCCTGTGCTTCCGTTGCACGATACTCGCCGAAGTCAGTATCGGCTCAACGAGCGATAATCTGAGCAGAGGATGCCAGGAGCACGGATATGACGAATTTCACGATCGTGTTTTGAGCTTTAGAATTATCCCCGGATCCCGAACCACAGTGGTGATGAAGCTCAAACGTTTGCTTTATTCCTCTCGCTCTAAGGGAGATATTCCGTAAATTCGAAACACTTTACAGCAGCAACATCGTGAATCGGTGCTGACAATGGGAAAATGCCCTGTCTGCCACGAGGGAGGAAGCGAAACTCCGTGCCCTGGAGGACTTTTCCCTTCGGGACGGGCAGTCGCATACATATGTAACTTCAACGTAGACGGAGGTCTTCGGTATCCCCCAATGCGGGCGTGGAGTGCCTTCTCGGAGAGCTCCTTCCCGTATTTGCCCACGGGTTGGAAGTTTCGGGATTCGTGAGGGACTCAGATATTTCTCACCGCATTTGATTCTGTTCCCCCGGCGTGGGTGGGGAACATAAATGTTTCGGGCGTCTATTCCTAGACTGAGGACTGAGGTTCCGGCGTGAGAGTCGACCGAGACTGCATTTAAAAGAAAATATTGCGACCAGTGTTCTCGATCACGACGAATATAGCATTCGAAGTCAGGGGTCAGCTGCTGCCACTCGTCGGTATCACTTATTGTGAGCGGGAGTAAGTTGCGGATATGTTGGAACCTGTCCTACTCGGATGTGGACGTATCTGATTCTCAAGCATACTTTCGAGTGTTTCGAAAGCATGCAAAAATAGAGAGACTCCTCAGCGACACGTGCAGCTAATTGGTTCACTCGACAGAGGAGAGTTTCCGAGCGATATGAGGAACGCGATGAAGTGAACGCTCCAGCACACAGAGACGACCCGATGCTGGGTTTTTCTCGTGAACTCGTCCCACTGAACGAAGGCCCGGAGATCTGTATGTGTCAGGCTGCTTGCCTTTCACGGACCGCATCTATCAATAGATATTGAAACCACAACATCAGAAATCGTTTGCGGCGGCGAACGCCTCATGCGCATTAGGACATTATTATGTGTTGCCTCTCCATCGTATCATCGCTACATATACAGAACTCGATTGGTATTTTTCCCGACAGCATGTCACAACTACATTTGGTCCTCAATACGACTGCTTGGGCTACGTGATTTTTTCGATGCGAAATTCGAAACCTGCCCTACGAAGTTGGAAATATTGACCGCTGCAAATAATCTGAAAATCTGAAAGAGCAACCTCCCGTGTTTCTGAGAGGGTGAGAAGTCGGCGCTCTGGGGGAAGAATACGGTATGGGCGATGGGGAGTGATCGTCACGGTATGCAAGAGCAGAATATTCCTGCGGTCCTCGAAAACTGAGAGATAAATATTCCGAAAGGATCGATTGTTGAATAGCCGAGAGAGAGCAGACTGAAAATTCTCATAATTCCTAGTCGAGCCGCGTCAAGCAGCGTTGCTGCTACCGCTGCAGTAGCTTCTTCTTCTCACCGAGTCTGGCTTCTTCTCTCCCGACTTTTCTTCTTATTTTTCACCTCGACTTCTGCTCTTCGGTGACGGGGCGACACAGTCACCGAAAAAAAACCGAAGTCTCACAAAACACCTGGCCCTCATTGGAGGGATAGCGGCGGCGGCGGTGGCAGCGGCAGCAGCAGCAACCGTAGCAACGAAGCGGGCGTCGATCTTGGGAAGGATCAGCTAGCGAGCAAACGAGTGAGTGAGCCAGGCAGTCAGTCAGGCAGGCAAACAGGCAACGGTTCCGATCGGCGACCAAATGAAGGCGCCGTTGCTGCTGCTGCTGCCACCGTCTACAGAAAATGTTCGTCATCATTTTCGTTGAATCCACCTCCATCGCTTCCTCACTCTCGACTGTACTTCGTATCCCTGCGCTATCTATCTATGCAACTACAGCAACTCGCTCACAACAACGAAATTCGCTCTCTCAGAAAGCTTGTGCCGCGACTTTTGACTTCAGTGCGGACGTTATTGCGTCATCGGCGCGTTCTGGCCTTCAGACAGCACTGCAGTCGTTCAGGTCGGAAGGTGGCAACCATACCTTTCTTCATTAGGGTGGGCGCCCTAGCGAAGAAATTCGCTCCGGCGTTGGCTTCCATCGACGCGCAGGATCAATTCCCGGAACAACGCGATGCATGACACTCGATTTTTCTAGAAAAAAATGGAGCCAAAAATCCCTGCGAAAAAAAACCCTCGTACTCGTACGCGACCACCTTCTACCCGATATCGCTGGAATCAGGGCTGAAATTCTGGCCGCGCCTCGCTCGCTTCTCAACGAAGATTCCGGACGTCAGTACGAAGTCGAATGTTTCGTTATCCCACTTGAAGAACGGCCTCAATGCAGCGTTCTCTCAGACGCAGGGTCGGACCGCAATGCGATCGCGTACGACATGGACGCGCGGGCTAACGGACGGAAAGACCGATTGATGAGGGGATGGACGGACCTTTGGATGGATGGATGGTTGGATGTGTGTACGTATGCATGCATGGGTACAGGAACGGGGGTTTTCGGGTGGTACACCTGCTTTCTTCGGAGCTCTCCGCAGGAGCTCACTCCATACACAGGTGAGCAAAGTTGGCTCCGATTGTCCCATTGTTCTGTCGCAATCTCCGCGGGACCACGGGCTGTTTTTCACGGATCTCTCTGTTTAACCTGGTCAAACTACAGCCGGATTCTATGGTCGGTGGACGCTCGTGTGCAAGATGCTCGCTTCTCGAGACCGGTCGCGTTCCTCCACTATCGTGCTCTGAATCGTTTCTTGTGAGTCTCGTCCGATACGTCTGGTCGCTTGAATGTGTCGGCAGGCGAGAGGGCAGAGGCTCTCACGAAAGAGTTCAGTTGAACAACTTTTCATTTTTTTCACGAGTCTCTTTCGGTCCTTGTCGCTCAAACGTGATGGATTCCGGGTCGCCATGGAACCGTTCTGATCTCCGCGGGTGTTTGGTCTCTATTTGGATCTCCGTCGGCATTTTTCGCAGCTGGAACGAGGAACGAGCACGGCTGCGGCCAAGAACATCACCTGATTGACGTACGCGGATGAATCTGAAGTGAACGATTCAATCATACTGAACTATTCAGGAGACGTATAATAATTAAGAGAAACATTCCCCGCGCAACGAACGCGCGTCGCCCACGCGTCTCCGTCGTCCGAAGGCATCGCTTTGGTGACTGCTATGAAAATGTATTTCAGAGTAAGTTGAGAGGAGTCTGTGAACGACTATCGAGGGGATGCAGTTCAACTGGTCGGTTCGCGGAGATCGAAGCTCTCTTCGGTGTTCGTGTGGTTGGCTACTTGCTTGCTTGCTTGCCTGCCTGCCTGGTCGCTCGAGGTCGGGAGCATTTGGGCCCCTCCAGACACGAACAGATGGTGGCTTTCGTGGTGGCGTCTACAGAAAGAAGACGAAACTTCTGCTGCTGCCGCTAGCTATCGTTGTTGTTGTTGTTGTCATTGGTGGTGTTGGTGGTGGGGTACTGCTCTGCTGTTAGTGCGTATGAGCCGGGAACCTTCCGCCGATAGACACAGAAAGAAGCAGCGATATATGTACGATCGAAATAGACAGAAATTCCGGAAACAATGTCTCTGGACATCGAGAGTGCGCGCTCCAGAGTTATTATTATTATTATTATTATCATTATTATATTGTTATATGTCTGCCACGTGATAATCTCGGAACTCGATATTCAAAACCGTTGAGATTTGATCGTGGATATCCTCATTATACGGGACCGGTATTCTTTTTCTATGGGTCACCGGGGAAGGTTCGATAGATTCTATAGATTTCGATGAGCTTCGCGTTGGATTCGGACCTCGATTCGTATTGGATTCCATATCTTTCACATCTGATTGGAGGGCGACATGGTCCGAGGGCCAACGATCTCCGGATTCGGACCGTTGTGAGGCGCAATTTGAAGGAAAATCCATAGCGGTGCGGATCTCGACCGAATCATCCATGTTCGCTTCGGAATCTGCTACCTGTTCGCTGCTTTCTGAGCGAGGAACGGGAGAAAGAGGCCTTCTTCTCGACTAGAAGGCTCGAACCCACGCGTCCTCCACGCGTCCATGTCTCGTTGCAGGTTGGTGCCCCACGCCAGATGGCGCTACGGCGACACGGCTCTTCTAAGCGTAGCCAAGAACGAAGGCTCCGTGCGTCGATCAAGCCTGGGGAGGAATCCTCGCCACCTTTCTGTAGGCTCAATAGATGATTGTCTCCATCGAAATGTCCGAACTCCCACTGCCTAGTTTATCCTTCATGCGGAGCTAAGCCAGCCCAGTGAGGGGAAACTTACGAGAGCTGCAAAACCTATGAATGGAGCATCATCCAAAAGTGGAGACTCGATAAAATTGAAATACGTGTTCCCGAAGCGTAGGGAGCAAGCTCCTGGAGTCACGGACTCGCGCAGCTTCCTTAGCCGTGATGTTCCGCGTCATCCAGGCAGTCATTCTCCAACAGCTCTAGTGCTGGGGTTATTCTCCGCACAACTTCATACATACATACATACGGCAAGGGCTAGAGTGGAGAGATCCCTGACTTGAATTTCCGTCCGCCATCTGCAACTAATGGTTTTCTCGTTGACAGGGTTACGCCGACTTCGGGACTATGTTGAACAAGGGCCAGTACACATCGCCGGTCGACTACTTCGACAACTCACCCGGTCCTAGCGAGGGCCATTGGGAGCCCAAGTATTACGGGGGGAGCCTACCCCCACCTCCTCCGCTGCACCACGAGCAGCCCCAGCCCCATCAGTATTCCGGATTGCCCCCGATGTCGAGTTTCAATGAATACCCGCCCCATTCACCTCAGATGACTCCGATTTCGGCGCAATCCTCCCCGCTGCCCCTGTCGGCTGCGCAGGTCGGCAGCGGTACAAACATGCCCAATAAACTTTATGTAGACTACGGGGCTCCCAACGTGTCCCCACCCCCTAGCTGGTCTCAGCCGCCACAGCAGAGAATGCACGTCCCTTACGGTCCGACTGATAGCGCCGTGCCCACAGGTGAGTTTTGATTGCGCATTATTCTCAGGCCATATCAATCGGTTTGAATTATTGAGACCGTAACGCGAGAAAAAAAAAATTCCACCGCGTTCCTTGGACCCTTCTATTAGTGCTCTCGATGTACCGTTGCTGATCGTGTTGTGCCGCTTACAGGAAACGAATTAGTTCCGAACCACGTAGGCGTTATCATGGAAGAACGCCTCGATGATGCTATGAACGTATTAAGGAATCTTGCCGAAGCGACGAGTCCCCAACATCCCCCGCCGCAGTACCCAATGAGTCCCAATTACGCTGGAGCGAGTAGCCCGATCGAATTGAAACCGCCCGCCTATCCCGGAACCGGTCTCAAGGTCGAGGTTAAGGAGGAACCTGGAGCGAAACGTTCGAAAACCTCTAGCCCCGCCCTAACCCCGACTTCTCCAAGTTCAGCGAATGTCAAAGTTGCCAAGCGGCAAAGACCTGCGCCCGTGGCGACGAAGGCCCTCACCGTCGCGAACGTCAACTGGGCGTCAGGGACAAACTCAAACTCGGCCTTGGGTCCCGGCTCGAACTCCGGGGGCGATGCGTTTTCCGTCTCCGACGACGGACTGGACGATGATCCTGAAACTAAGGCAGAAAGAGAACGTGGCCGACGGCAGGCAAATAATGCACGCGAAAGAATTCGTGTGCGAGATATCAATGGTGCTTTCAAAGAGCTGGGTAGAATGTGTATGCTTCATTTGAAGTCGGACAAGGCCCAAACCAAGCTCGGTATACTTCATCAGGCAGTTGAAGTTATAACCTCTCTGGAACAGCAAGTCCGCGAACGGAACCTCAACCCTAAGGCAGCTTGCCTCAAACGACGTGAAGATGACAAGAATGACGAACCGCGACCTCCCCCTCAACATCTCCTTGGAGGAGGACCGATGACGGAATCTCCGATGTCGAATTGCCCGACACCTTCGTGGCTCGACTATGGAGCTAGCCCGCAAGCCACCGGTGCGGACTCCAAGCAACACCCTCACGCGATGCTTGGCGTCTCTCCGGGTGCTAACACTGCGAATAGCCAAATGCCTCATCAGGATCCCAACAGTATTTAGAGTTCGTGGAGGGATCGCGGTGTAAATATGTGTGAGATGTAAAAATGTATCACGTGCTTGAAACGGCGGTGTTTTTTTCGAACAAAGTCCTTTCCTCGGTCTCGTCTCGTGATCGAGATCAGCTGCGCAGAACGCCTAAGCTCCAGGGCTTGAGGTAAAAGAAATCGCGGACTCGATCGAGATCTCCATGTCGAGAAGCAACGACAGCAACCTCGTAACCCTTTTAGACAAAGTGACAAACAAAACTGAGAAGCAATCGCACACCGACCGAGCAACCGCCATTGTTTTGTACAGCGCCTGATACTGTGTAAAATCACCCATTTCTTGTTTTTGACCACGACAAAATAGTTCGGAACAGCGACATCAGCTTAAAAAGCGACAACAACATCAGCAACAACGCGAGAAAGCCAGATGACCATCAGGATCCCCGGAGCATCGATCGTCGAGCGAACAACCGATCTCGATAGCACGCGCTCTGGAATTATGATGACGTCCGATGTCACTCGAACATAAGGGAAAAAAGTTCGACTGTTCCAGACACAAACTCGCGACTTGGAATTCTGACGGAGACGGTGTATCCAGCCGGTCGTCTTAACATCATCAAACAAACATACAAAGAGTTCCACCGGAAGCCCCCTTCATATCTTTAGTGCCGCTCGTCGGCGCATTCTACATGCTGCCTTCTAGGAGAAGGAGTCCCCCGACGCCCGAGTAAATAATGCATTCCGGATAGTTCGACCGGGGTGCTCTCAGTACGGCAATCGATTCCACGGCGACCGTTCTCATTTATCTCGGAGCGTAACATGAGGATTGACGGAGACGACGATCGTCGTCGGAAGTCATCTAAAGCTCTGAGTGATCCGAGAAAATCTCGATAATTACTGTATCCGATGAGTTCTTGACTTATTCGTTGCTCTTCTGAGAGATACATATCATCGATGTCGGTCCCTTCTACTTTATAGTTACCTCCAGCATATCCGAAATATGATCGAATTCAGAAGTATATATAAAAATATATGTATGTATGGAATCAATTTACATATATATACATCTAGACGAACACAAAATGTTAGATAGATCCATCTTTATCTTTGAAGAGAGCGTCGCGCGTCGACGCATCGCCCTTAGCATTGATGTGAGAATTGTATTTTTTTCTTGAAAATTTGCGAAAATTATCCATCAGTTCCAAGATAACTCTTCCGTCGAGAAGAGTTTTTTACTGCGTGAGTCGGTGAACGAGACTGGAGCGATGAAACGCAACAATTGCAACCGTATGCTCAAGGCTTCTGCGATTTTCTCACTCACGCTAGCAACGGGTGAGACGAAAAGAGCAACTTACCATTCTCTACCACATTGTATTCAGCTCTTTGGAGCTATACTCTCGGATTCTCGAGGTCTCGAACTTTTTGTTCGGAAGTGTCTCTCTACTTTCCTGGGTTTGACGGAATGATCCATCGATCAACGAACGAATCAATCAATCAATCAACGATGTTAGTCTATGCACGAGAAACGAGAAAAAACCGTTACTAGGCAGCGATCTTGACGCTGAACCCGATGATTCAGGAATTGATCTCGTCGTCGACGCGATCGATGATGACGGCGATACTGTTATGCAAATACATGAATGAGATGCGAGGATGGAAAATGACATGTTTCGAAGGAAAGCTTCCGTGCCGAAACCGAGCTGTTAGTAGTGAACTAGAATAGAGCATGTGTTATCATGAAGAATTCTCAATCAATGACATGGAGGAATAAAAATTGACGAACATCATCGATGTGCCAACGAAGAAAAAGAAGTAATGTTCCTTGAATCCGATAGAGATGCAGTTCGGGGCGGGGCTCGCGCCCCGAGGTCAATGTTATCGGCAAAAACATCTCCGAGTCCGTACACTCTCTCCTGATATCTTTATTTTCTGAGTCCGAGTCTACCGACATCCGGTGCTCCGGAACTCGGAACGAAAAACTGCAAAAGGCTCTTAAGCTCTCCGAGGCCGGCTGCATGCTTGCTCTTCCTTCCCGAATTCTCCGTGCTTCTCAATATAGACAAGTTCGTTTCATAATCCGCATGAATTCTTGCTGATTCACTTCACCGTCACCGTCCTTGTCAGCTTCTTCGATCATCTGCTGGAGTTCATCAACTGATATATCAGCCTCGAGCTCTTGAGCTACCCTTTTCAGATTTTCAAGCGATATCTTGCCTACAGGGAATCAAGAATTATTGGGTGAGTGATCTTACGACTGCTAGACATTGGAAGAAGCTTGGAGGATCGGTACGAGACCGGGGCCGTGCTGGCGGGAGAATTACCTGTGTTATCATCGTCGAATAGCTTGAAGGCTTTCAGAGTCTCGTCGGTCGGATCGTCGCCTACCCTTGCGCTCATGATGGACACGAATTCGTCGAATGACACCTTCGAGAGCCCATACATGTGATCATTCTCTTGGCTTTCGAGAAGGAGAAAACGGGGAGAATAATTAATTCCCTGAGTCTATTCTCACCTTGTCTTGCTGCATGTCGTTCTTGCCGAGATCCGAGAGGATTTTGCGCACCTGTAAGGGAGTTCGGCCGCCGATGAATGCTCTGTGGGGGGATTAGATTCAGGAAATCATGCTCCACGGTACACACGACGGGAACACTCACTTCTTCCTTCCGAGGCTCGAAACCAAGGGCTCTCATTGCGAACTTCAAGTTTTTTGACAGAATGCAACCGTCGCCAGTGTCGAAAGGTCGGAAGGCTTCCCGAAGCTCGTCGGGTGTTTCAGTCATACTGTCAGAAAACGGTCGTTCCCCAAGTGGAACCGATACCCTGGAACAGCGAGGAGGGAAAAAAACAGTTCTTGAGTCTCTGCAGCTTCATGCGCAATCTTGTAGAAAGGCCGCGGACCGAATCCCTGCATCGATGTCTGGGTGCTCGCGCCAACGATGAGAGCCATTCGTCAACAGTCGTATCAGGCGACTCGGGAGATTCAGCAGTTTCAGAGATGACGATCGGCTGTCATTCAGATCGAGGGTGATCGCCGGAGAGCCATAGGGGCATGCTACGGCTCACCTGGGGAGCGCTTTTGAGAGCGGAGCAGATTCTCCGGGATGATCCGCGAGCGATAATGGGAATAGTTCAATGTCCTACGCAGACATACCTCGGTGAGTCTCCGAGGACCTTGAGTTCCAAGTATTGCCAGCTGCAGCCATCTGTTGGTCGCCGTAAACAGAGACTAGCCGTCTGAGCTCCGCGCATGCGCGGCGAAACTCCAACCCACGAGCTCGAGTTGGAGCCGGCCCGCGAGTCATGAATGTCTGAGAATTAAGTTGACGAGATATGTACGCTAGGAAGCGCCGTAGAACCACGTACATCTAAATTTCCGATGTCGATTCCTCACCGGCCTCTCGTAAGATAAGTGAGCCGACACTCGTAGTCGCTCCTGCAAGCGGGAAGATCCACAGGAGCGGCGTTTATCGTCGCTAATCAATGAGACGAGATATATCTAGAATGACGTCTTCAGAAGAAATTCGGAGCCAGGCAGGCCGAGACGTGGGAATCGCGGGGTCCTCGGGCCCTTAGAGTCGCGGGTCGTTATATTCCCTTCGGTCTATTGGAGACAGCTCTTGCTTTATTCCCCAGTGACAGATTCGAGGAAACCATCATTTTAGATCAGGAGCTCCGTGCTGACTTCCGAGGAATCTTTCACGTCGAGTGGAGCCTCTCCCTCCACGTACTTCGGGAGTCGCTCCAGAACAAGCTATCGAAGAGGACGAGAGGGACCCCATGAGGAGCTTTGACGGAGGAGGGGGAGGGCCGAGCAGACGCGTGAAAAGCTCCCAGGGTCAGAGGGACGTCGAAACTTTCCTGTCGTCCTGTACGGGGCTCAGCTACATGGCTCATGACGCCATGAGCGAATCTCCCTCAAACGAGGAACGGTTCGGAGCCGCGAGAGACTCGAATCAGTATGTGCGAGGCGTTCTCTTCGTCTGAACAGCAGTGTCTGTCGTGCCCGAGAGATTAGGCAAAAAATCATTCGTTTAAGCTTCGCAGCATTTTTAGTTTGTTTTTCGTCCGTTGGTTTGTGCTTCTCGTTCTTGTCGTTGAAGCAACACATAGAGACACCGCAACGATTTGGCTTAAGATGGCGACACCGCTTCGGTCGGACTTCTCTCTTCGAAAAGTTCAGTAGGCTTTCCTTCTGTATCGGCAGGGCACTGCAATCGGCTGCCCCATGTCAACTTCAGCGACAGCTGTCTGACTCCCCTCCCTCGTTGTAAAAACACATAACGATTTAGAGTAGAGTAAAAAACATTGAGCTGATGGTTTGCGCGTTTTTCTCCTCTCAAAACGGTGGTAATCCTGCTCGTTGCCCCTTCCCACGGCAAAACTTAAATGGCACGCGGCGAGCGGCTGGCGAGGAGTTCCGACTTGGATGCGAAAGTGTTCTGCACGAATCGTCGGAAAAGGAGAAAAGCCTCTAGTGGAAACTGTGTACTCGAGGACTACGTCCGTACGCTCGCCGTCTGAGTCCGGCGGATACCGTGGACTGACGGAACGGTGACACCAAGTGCTCCTCCTCTTCAAACCCAGGTTGGTTACATGGCACCGGGGCTCCTGAACACCCGAAGATAATTCGCCGACATTTCCACGCGTCTTAGTCCATCGAGAGCTTGTGATCTCAAACCCCGATCTGACTGTAGGAGTCCAAGAATCTATCCCATTGAGTCCGAAGTGAACGGAATATACATGCATCGATTGACGCTGAATGAAATTATTGAACCCTTCATCACAACAATCGAAATTTGTGATGACGTCCGCAAGGCACGCGATGTTTCCGCTTGCTTTATGCGATTCACTCATCTTTTTTCAATGAAGATTCTTCGACGCCTTGTCGAGAAGCAGTCTAGCATACAGCGAAGCTCAGCGGCGAGTCAATCTTTTGCGTCACGTTTCGGTCCGGGGCATCGCGACTCATGGACTGTCGTTGGAACTCGAGAGAAAAACTTTGACTTGTCGAAGCCCTCAATCTTCCAATTCGAAGAGCATGCCAGTTCGTTTAGCCTGCCGCCTCCGTGGAATACTCGTATCGACGCAAGAAGTCTTCGGAAGCGACCCACTTTCCCTCATGGAATGACTCGGATTTTCAGATAATGAGAGCACCATGCTAATTCTATAGGATAAGATCGCCAAAGCGGAATCAAGTCGAGTCATCAGCATGTTCGCGTTGTTCCTGGTAAGTTCCCACAACGGTCGGCTGACTTCTTTCGTTAGCGTGCGCGAAACTCCCGAGCGGATTCCGCCAACGGATGATTCAATGTCGAATTATTCAGATAGAGCCGCGTGTAGAATACCGATCAATCCTCATGCCGGCCATAGGTGTCGATCATCGTGCCTTGCTGTGTCTGCCAAGGTCCTACGCTGTACGTAGAAGGGACTCCCGGACATCATGATCCCGTGGCAGAAGTGCATCCCTCAGGACCTCTCGAAGCACACGGGCATCTCGTCGGAGGACAGACTCCGCCGTATCGGAGTCCTGCGTATGTTGGATCTTTCGGAGTTCAGCGGCAGCAGCCGCAGCTGGCGGGAGAGCTATCTGGGGCGCATCATGCTTCTTCAGCCGGGTACCACGTACGTGTCTACAAAGTCCCGGTATTCTCCACATCAGCGTGTGACAAATTTCAAGTTCTTCGTCCCCGTTCGGTCACTGATGGACGTCCCAACTTGCAGGGCCCTCGACATCCTCAACACGTGAGTGGGGGAGACGGAGATGACAGCGACCGTGGTCCCGAGCCCGCTCAGGAAAATCAGGAGGACTACGAGCCAACGTCCGATGTTGGGAGCGATGGACCCAGAAACTCTTACAGTCCGACGGATAACGACGGCCGGGATTCTTACGATGGACAGAACGAAATCGGACAAGATGATTACGGTCACGATGCTCCTCACCGAACATATGGGTCCGGGGAGGATAACGGTCCTCCACACCATGATCATCACGGGACGCGACAAAGTGACGGAGGAGGACCATACCACAGCTCCGATGGTGACGGAGATCGTTACGGTCCGCGGAAAGAGCATTACGCGTCTGGCTATGACGAACACCGACCACGAAGGTGAGATTCGCCCGCGGAGAAACAATACAAGAGATTATTTTTTCCCTACAATTCGAACTCTCGCTACATTGAGGTAGGCGCAGCGGATCGTGCCTATGGGAAAACTCCTCGCCGCTCGCTTTTACCACGACAGTCTCACGCGTGGTCGAGGAGGAGTCTTCTTCGCTCTTTAATAACTTCCGTGTCTCCCAAGTTGAAAGTGGATCGTCGTCGCCCATGCAACCATCGCTCGTCCGATGGGCGGCTCGTTGCGTGGAAGACGGAACGAAATTCCCGCTCGTCTTCTGTTCTCGGCCTAGCAAGATCACGAATTTTCGCCGCTCAGGGGCTACCAATTTGATGAAGATATTATTTCTCTCATTTGTTGGCTCGTTCGCAACTTACTTTCTTAGCTCGGGGCCAGTGATCATTGATCAGGAGCGCCGCCTTTTCTCGGGAGCAGATGGAGGGATGAATATCTCCAGCTATCCCTATTCCCCGAGGAATTTTCCGCTACAAGCAATCGGTGGCGCGAATTGTTCGGAACCGAGGAATCATAATTCTCGAGTCCGTTCATATGATTTCTCACGGTTAGAAGCCGGCCCGGCCGAAAGTCTCCCCCAATTTAATTTTCCCAAAACTGCCTGCCGCAGCCGTGGTCGACGAAGATATCGCACTCGTGTTTCACACCACGAACCTTCGCTACCCCTTTCCGACCATCATGGACCTGCTTCAGCGCATGGTCACGACTCCCCGTATCATGGAGCCTCGGGACACGGGCATAACCATCATCGCCGCCCCCAAAATCATCGTCATCATCATCATCGCGGCCATCGTCAGGGACATACTGACGTAGAAGGGGACGGCATCCAAGGTGGATATCAAGTTCACGGTCATCTCAGCCCGAGACTACGTGGAGGCACGAGTTTGAATTACAGACCTACCCACAGAGATATCGTAGTTGGTGAACCCGTAAAACTCACTGACGACTCTATGTACGGTACGTTTCTCCCTGAAAGTTTTTTTATGGGGCAGTGTGTATCTTGGGAATCTATCTTCGCTGTCGACTCTGAAACTTTCCACACGGATGCACAAAACGAGATTCTTCATCTAGGGGAGGACCCGTGAACGAGACCGTCTCCTCAATGGTGCTCATGAATTGCAGGGCTCACATTATCACCACTGGTTCTATCTCAGAGGCCGATAGTATCTCCCGGTGGCTTACACCCCAGTTATTACGCGCAGGTCGCGCATCTAGCGCAAGCGGCGCCCATGGCTCACTACGGTAAGAGTGGGAACGCAGACGTCCGAAATAGATTTCACGCCAGATATTTTTTTGGGATAAATCTAGCACGGGATCGGGGAAGAGACTACGAAGATTTACCGATTATTTGCTCCTAACGAGGATTTCGACCTCCGTCAGATCTCTCACCGACGATGGCGAACGCATGGATGGCTGGAGCATTACCTTTCATGAACGCGGCGCATCTCAAGTCGTGAATCGGTGTCACATCTGTATGATTCCCGATGACTGGGACCTCGCCTCCGCTCGACAGAAACGGCGCTTAGTCCCACTCAGAAGATTTCCATGAGCTCCAAACTCGAGGAAATCGTGCCAGCTGTAGAGCGACCATGGGAGGCGCTGAGCCACGTGTTCTTCTCGCATCGGGTTCAGCAAATCGATGTAACTCAAGTGCCACAAGAATTTTCGTTTTTCATGACTATACGTCGTCGATCCGAGTGGAATGATGCCCATGAATGAGATCAGGGAACCGTCTCCGGAGCTGATACACGCACACGATCGCTGCGCGGGGCAGTTTAATTTTTCCTCCGACACCCATCAACAGTCCGGTCACGAGCGACATTGGACTGAGAATACTGCTTGAAATGGATCAATAAAAAAGACCTTATGAGAAGCCCAAGATGACTCTTATTTCTTCCGATCAGGTAAGGTTTCTGGGAGAGCTTGTTCTTATCTAGTCGCCACGGTTCCTTGGTCTCATCTGCTCATCGGCGAGGAGTTTTCTGCTCATCACAGGGTCATAGCCGAGGCTACATGCTCGATGCTCCACGGTCGAAGTTAGTTCGACCCCCGCTCTTCATATTCAGTTTAAGATCCTGTATCTCGATTTCTTGGGATATTGCTTTACACATGTCGTATAAACACAAAGCGGCAACCGAGCACGCAGTCAATGCCTCCATCTCAACACCTGCCGGAAGAAACTCTTATTCCCGAATCTCTGTGATGCGTCGGCTCCGCTCTCGATAGGAAGATCCCGAAGAACGACTCGCCTGTTTTCCCACTACAAACCGCAGTCGAGCTTATGAGGACGCAAGACTTCTCTGCATCCAACGAGACTTCAATCTGCAATGAATCAAGTTACGAGGATCTAAGCTGACACCGGTGCCAAGCTGGCGCCGTCGAATGGTCATCACACGGAAAGAACTCGAACCCTGACCTCAGTCTTCTCAAGAGATATCTGGTGACAAAGGGGTATGAGATGCGGGGTAAGCTTCGATGCTTGAATTCCAGCGAGCCGAATCGCGGAGAAAACGTCGCCTTTCTGAAAGGTCAGCGGAACTTGTCGAAGCGGAACTTGTGGTTGCCTGGACGCACGAAGAAGGGCATCGAGTATTGGACATCCCCGTTCGATGAGGGTAATTGGAGCACTGGACCTGAAGTCGATTCTCTTTGACGAGGTCGAATACGTTCGGCGGGAGATGAACCCTGCAGGACGCTTCTGCTCTGCGGAGCGTGACTCCTGCCGGAGCGATCATCCGGGTCAATACTGAGATTGCTTGTTTAAAAGGCGCGGATTTCCAAGAAGTTTACCTTTTGCAGAAATGTCGACTTGGTTCGCTTCCCCGGCGCTATTAACATGCGTCAGGGTCTGGGAACCGGAAAACGCGCTCGCTCTCCTCGTGAGTTCACTGAAAACACCTTCAATATACAATACTCGGATCAAATCTATAGTGGGCGGTTTCTCATGAGCTAAGCGGAGAAGTTCTGAGAAAACCGCCACAAAAAAATGTGGAACGCTTCACGATTTTGCGTGTCATCCTTGCGCAGGGGCCATGCTAATCTTCTCTGTATCGTTCCAATTTTAGTATGTGTACCGTAAGGTACAAGCATGAGAGACAGCCTTAGACTATTTATATCGCCGATTCCGAGCCTGACGTGCTCTCAGGTCGTTTTTCGGGTATGCTTCATAATACCACGCCATCACAGGCACCCTGATCGCTTTTGCGGGACTATATCGAGCAGGCTCCCAGCGCTCATGTTTTCTATAATTTGAGGAAGCTTGTCGGGTACCCAGAGATGCATATACCGCGTGGATATCTGCGGAGCTCCTTCTGCTTCGGCGACCCCCGTGGCGGTAACTTACAGCTCGAGGACCCAACTCCGGGCGACTCATCGTCAGCCGACGAGCCGAAGACTGTTTTCGGAGTGAAGAACTCCTCGAATTCTCGAAGAGAGGAACGGACTTTGAGAAAGCGGGAGCGTCAGTGAAGTTAGGGCAGCTAGTCGAATCAGAATAAAAGGGAGGAGCAGCTCCGGCCTGACACTCACAAGATATTCTCCGGGAACCGCTCAAGAGCATCCTGAGTTTACGACAGTGAGCCCTAAGGCAGAAACGTGAACGAATTGGAATGTGCTGTACTGTTTACTTCCGCGATCCTCTCTCAACTGTCGGTCCCGAGACGGCGCGGCAGGGCTCTCAGCGAGTCCGTCCAGCGCTTATCGGACAATCGCCGGTCGAGAGTAATCATTCGTCAGAACGACTGTGTCATCGGGAATCTGTTCGAGAGAATTCATTGATTGGAGCCCTATGCCTGGTCGCGATGCGCGGTACCAATCGCATGGCTGGTGGACGTATTTGCGGAATTTGATTCGCTCCCCAGGAGGATCTGCATTTGAGGGCGCGATTCTTAGAGATCCGCCCGGATTGTCTACGGAAGGCGCAGCGCCGAAAATATGCATGAGTATCCTCGAGCACTGATAAGCCGAAGTCCCTTAGTGCGTCTTTGTTAGAGTAGAAATAATCTTCGCATCATAAAGGATAGCACGGCGAGGAGCGCTGCGCGTGTAGCTCCAGGGCTCCCGCCACCACGACGGCCATCGCTCCAGAGGTCTGTAGCAGACGGATTCTGCTTTCGATTCTCGATTCACTGGCTTTTCTCTGAGGAGAGTAATGCCGGGAGCTCGCCAGAGTGCACAGTAATGAGAGGAGAGCAATTGTCGGAGAGCAAAGATCGAGGGAGAGGCACTCGGAAGCGACTTAAAGAGACATTGAATCGACCACCCGAATCTCACATAAACACTCTCCCGGGTAGATGCCCACCTGTTTGTTATGTTGCCGGAGCAGCAGGCATGAGCAGCGAGCAAAAGGCTGCGGTGCTCTATGTCTGTCGAACCGGCTGGGCGGCTTTCGACGCTGAGACGTGTACAGCTAATATTCTTTTATGAGGAAGCCTCGAATCGCGAACCATGATCGATCTCATAGATGTGTTCTGGGCTCTCGTTTGTCTGGGCCTCCTAGTCGTGATAACGGTGAGATTAGAGCGGGAATCGCACAGAGATTTCTGCAGCCGATCAGCTGATCGAGCTCCTGGTTACGTGTCACTGCAACAGATTAAAGATTGCCGATTTGCGTTGGATTCCGCGGGAGGAAACAGGGGCATTATGAGGGGAAGTCAGAATTTGCCTCGATAAACTAATGACACAACGCCATCCGAACTGACAACACTCGCTGATTTCGATTACATTACGAACATCTGTTCGCTTCCGATCCTCAGCTATCTGCGTTGCTGTATTCGACCAGCTCACGGTATCCGGATATTCTTCGGTATGAAGAAGAAATGCAGTTCAAGTGTGGTGAAAATCTCCTCACGAGAAAATCATTCCCCAAGATCTCAGACGCTCCCGAAAAAACGCTCTCGGTCATAATTCCGGCATACAATGAAGCAGAACGCCGTGAGTAACCGCAACGCATGTTTAGACCCAATATTCATCCAGAGGACCTGATTCGCGTGGTCCCATGTAGCTGCGAGGTCTCTGGCTCCTCGCTCCTTACCGTCTCTATCCGAAACTCAGAAAGTCTCCTTCCAGTACCGCCAATGCTCGAGGAATGTACCCAGTATTTGGAGAAACGTTGCAAAGAGGACACCAGCTTCACCTACGAGGTAAGACGATAAGTACCAATAGGTGCCCATTCTCTGATGAGGGCGGAGCTGGGATCTGTGATCGATCCCTAGTCGGGTTTGGATCTGGGAAGTCAAAAGATTGCTGATCGAGCTGTTTTATTCAAGATCATTGTTGTGGACGACGGTAGCAAGGACAGAACGTCAGAGACAGCACAGAAATGGGCTGCCCTCTACGGTCAAGACAAGTTTCGCGTCCTCACTTTGGTGAGAAATAGAGGCAAAGGAGGTGCAGTGAGATTGGTGAGAAGAATGCGAACGCTCGAGATATCTCATCCCAAAGTATCGAATCTTCGAACTCACTTCGCGGGGAGAAATTATTTGTGAGATCCGATGCCGATCTAAAAGGGAGAATTCGGAGGCTTTCTCGAACGAAACTGGAGAACATTTTCTTCTCAGGGCATGCTCAGCGCTCGGGGCGAATCCCTACTTTTCGCGGACGCCGATGGTGCGACACATTTCCCAGACCTCGAAAAACTTGAAGAAGCACTCGCCGCTTCTAGAGTGAAGGTAAGCTCATTCCCGTGATCATTACTTTTCCGCGTTTCTGGAAATTTGAACGATTTCATGGAGAAAGGCCATTTTGTCCCCCGAATCTCGCATTCCTCCTGCGGATCGATCACTCAACGGGGCCTTCCCCAATCTCCACAGAACGCCTTCTCCGTCGTCGTGGGGTCCCGCGCTCATTTGGAAGAGCAGTCGGTAGCTGAGAGAACATTCTTCAGGACGATACTTATGTATGGATTCCACACCCTGGTGAGTGAGATGAAATCCGCTCCCTTTTATCCGCCATCCGCCGGAAGAAATCAAGTCATTGAATGATCGGGGCGCTCATCTCCTCAAACTAATCGCATTCTATGCCGTCGAACAGGTTTGGCTGTTCGCTGTTCGGGGCATTCGGGACACCCAGTGCGGTTTCAAACTGATGACACGGGACGCCGCCATAGTACTATTCACATCGCTGCACGTGGAGAGATGGTTTGTTCGAGCACCAGAATCCTCTCGCGGACTACCTGTGATCAGAATTCCGTTTTTCTAACAATCATCCTCTTCTCTATAAGGGCTTTTGATGTTGAGCTGCTCCTAATTGCTCAGAAGCTCCGTTTCGCCATCAGTGAGGTACGTGAACCGATAGATAAAGCTGAATCCATTTTTAAGGCTCATCACAGAGCGCTCTCCTGATAGGCTCCGGTACCTAGATATCACAATTGTTATTATCATTCAGGTCGCCGTGACCTGGACCGAAATCGAGGGCTCGAAGGTAACGCCGTTCTGGACGTGGCTCGAGATGGGGAAGGATCTGGTGCTGATCTGGTACCGATACTTGATAGGAGCCTGGGCCATCAGAGCGTCTCTGAAGGAGGTCACCAGATGTCAATAAGTCCAATATGCTCAAATCAGCGAGCTACTGTAAATATCGTGCGGAAAGATTGTTCGAAGATTGTTGTTTGCACACAGCATGGGTGGATTACTACCGTGTGACGGACATTAGAGAGAGAGAGAGAAATCGAGTTACGTTTTCGGGAAGAATAAATTGCTCACGCACATACGAGAAATTCTCATCCGTTAGTTTTCTCTCCAGCCCTCAAGAGGCTCATCTGAAGAAAGAAGATCCCAGTTCCCCGATAGTCCGCCTCGGCAAATGTGTGCTCTGGCCGATTGGTCGCAATGAATGAGCCGCTTCCTATATCGCACAACCGTGGTTAATTTATTCGTATGGTATTTTCGATGCCTCAACGGCTGACTCCAGCCGCGCGTAGCAATCAAGGCTCTCACCGTATAACAATCTCGCCGCTCCAATAAATACAAACATTTCTCTAATGTCCCAGCGTCTGTCAGAAGACAATCTCGTAGAATTCAATACTTGATCGATAAGGAATATAATAATTTGAAAGTTATTGAAACCGGTTCCTATGAGTTTCCTACTTCGTGCACCTCCGATGGAGTCTCCTTAATTTCAATTTCTCCCCTAAAATTTCATTTGTTTTCCCGACTAAGAATATGTACATTCCCGGCTCCCGATCGCTTCACTAGATCAGCTCTTCACGATATTTACAAAACGAGAAAACCGTCACATCTTCCTGATTATTAACAAGTACTTCGCCGATGCGATGAACGACGTGCTGCCGGAAACAATGCGCGTCTGATGCTGAATTTCTCGCACGTAACGGGGGATTTTCGAAATCGATGCCCCAAAATACGAGCATTCCTAGTCAGGATTGAACCTGTCTGTATTTACCTCCCGCGATTCTTGCGGACATCGTAGATCTCGAATACATGTTCTAGATTCCGAGTCAGGTTCGATTCTCTCTGAATATAAACAGCTAGATCAAATCATTCAGGCGGTATCATCCGATCAGAAAGCTCTTCCGATGGTTCCGGATCTTCTTATCGACGAGCCTAGGGTGAGGCGCGCCCGTTTCCGAATCGATGGGTGCCCGCCGCCGGACGAGGTGCGAGATGAATCGTGTAATCGTAAAGCGTATTTACAGAAAATGACATAGTTGATCAAACAGGCAGCTCCTAAGGGAAGTAGGCTTGCAGCCGAGGTCGAAACAGAGTGTACAATGTCCGGGCGTACCAATGGACGCCCAGGAACGATTTAGTATAGATTCTGCTCTCCGCGTCTTGGGCCGGACTTGGTGACGCAGACGAGTAGAGGATATTTGTTCGTATAGATGCTAAAATTCGCTGCACCCAGCTCACGGAACTGTAGAATAATCGCAGAGGCGCGAATGCCGTGTGCGCGAGTGAATGATCGTTGACTAGAGCGTAGCAAGAGGCTACAACATTGTTCACTACGATGTTGCCTGAGGCTGTCATCGGCGCGTAAACTCCATACGACCGCTGAACGTGAACCGAAACCACTTTAGATTGCACGACGCTTCCGTTGACGCGGGTAAAGATGACGTCTCCGGGCAGAACGCGGGAAGCGTACGTTTTACTGGCGGAGTCGTCGTATTCGTGTCGATAAATCAGATGATACCGTGTAAGCAGTAGCTGCTCTCCAGTTTCGATTTTCAGTTTGAAGAAATCTTCTTTCCGAGAAGGATCTCGATCCAAAAACGTCAACACCGGTGAGAACTCGAAGCGGTTCTCTGCCTCATCATATGTGAGAACTTCCTCTCCGATGTTCAACTGAGAGATCGGCTTACTTCCCGATCGGGTTTGAACCACAGAACTCCTCTCAAAGCAGCCGGCGGTATTCCTCCCATTGTTTGGATCTGGAAAAATCGGAGTGTTTCTCTTGAGAACATCGAATATATTTTTCCCGCCCGTCGTGAGGGTAGGGGCCAGAATGAGGATGGAGCTCGATGAGCGGTCTCAGAAGACTTCCGGAGCGACATGAGAGGGGCAGCTTACCGAGCTTGACAGAAGCATGGATGTGTTTCTTGTCTTCGTAGAACACCCAATCGAAGCCTGCCTCGACGGCGAGCCGTGCAAGCATACCGTACTTGGACCGCTGTCGATCGTCTGTTGTGATGTCAACCGCCCGCCCTGGAATTTTCGACAAAATCTCCCATTGGAATTCATCGCGGGAAAATCAGTCACCCCCCTTAGGGGACTCTCTCTAGTCAATTGGAGGGAGGGGTTCGAATGAAGACGTCTGACTTGACTTCGTTGCATTAGGTTCGCGGAATCAGGTACAATCATCAATCGTCCCGTACGGGACGCACGCGGGGACGCTTGCGAATCTCACCTTCATAATGCAAGGAGTTGTTCTTGAAGGCTTTCCGCTCGACCCAAGTGTCGACGACTCGTAGCTTCACTCCTGGCCACTGATTCATGACCGATACGGCGAGGATGTTGAGTTTGTCACGTAGTCTCTGCAAAGCAACGGAGGGATTATACACGGTTTTTCATGGTTCCTGATCCCGATCTCGATGGGGGGTATCGATTTCATCGAGGAAGTGGACGCATCATACTTTCGTGCATCATATGATATCAAACCCGAAGCGACGTTCCCACGCCCGATTTCGGCCAATCGACGGATCACAGCGAAGCTCTCAGAAGCGAGATCGCCCGTGCAGTTGAGAGCATCGAAGAGTTCCATAATCGTCGAGAGACCTCCAATCGCTGAGGTCGATGGAATTTTTCCGAGAACGGATTACAGGAACTCGGGAGTCGAAACCTTTCAAACTTCCATTCAGCGTGTGCAGGCGGAGAGCACGGCGACGAATCGAAGCACAACTTCGCCGCGCGAGACTCCCACCAATAAAAAACGTATTAGAGTCTCTTTTCTCTGAGCAAACAATGGACGGACGCAGCCAATTCTTAAGCGTGCACCTTAGCAGGAACCTCGCAGGCGGTCTTGTTCAAGAAGGCGACCAGCCAAACATGCATCCCATTCAAGACTGGGGACCACTTCAACTTGTAGGACGCTGATTTCGTTCGGTAGAGGGGCTGCTCGAGAAAAAAACTATCCGATGCCGAGCGGATCACTGACGAGGAAAAAGCAAAAAGTGACTGAAACCGTCAGAAATCCGACAAAGCGAGCCACTGAGTTTTCAATCTGTTTATCGAGGCTTTTGATCAATGACAAGCGATCGAGCGCACCCGATACATTCTACGATTGGATATCGGGCGCTGACACGAATCTGCCACCCACGGGGACTTCGAATTGGTTTCAGCGAGAGGAAATTATTTTTCATTCTTCATTCCGAAAGATCTCCGACCGCCTTTTCGGGCTCAACATTCTTAAAACATCATTTTGCCTTTCAAGAGCCTCGCCGACATCGGCTCGACAAAGAGTTTCTCGAGCCCGAAGCGGACGATCTCGGATTTTTCTCCGAATCTCACGAACAGAACAAAATTATCCGGTCATCGATCGATAGATTGTTGGCATAAGTAGCTCGCGTCGGCCGAAAGGTCTCTGCTCCCCATTCTGCGTTTCTCTCGTATGCATTATTATGAGTTTCGAGTATTCATGAGATGCCTCGACAAACGACAGTGCGGTGGTGTGATGACGTACTGTAGGCGGAGGAAACCACTTGCATTTTTTTGACGAGAAAATGCGCTCATCCCGATTTGTCAAAGTTGCCGAGATGAGACTTGCGGGGACGGTTTTGAATTGTATTTCATTCGGTCCGCCGCTCAGGGTGCCTATGATGGGAGCGCTCTCAACAGGGTGAGTGAGAGGAGGCGCCTAAAATTTACGGGACGCTTCTTCGAAAAGCTAAGCATCGTAGAGGAGAAAATCTCACGCTGAGAACGAACCAAAAATGGCCTTAAACCTGTCAGAGCAGGGTAAACTCTAGAAAATCTGTCTCGGGCTCCCACTCAGGAATGAGCGCACCGGAGCGCTCGATGTTTCCTGTGATTGTTCTCGTTGAGCGCTCATTAGGAGAGCGTCCGATGCGCGATGGCAAGAGCAGGATTGCAGCGAAAAGTGACAGTCGAGTCGTCTGATAAATCTAGGAGTTTCCGCAGAGCTCAGGATACCCGGATGTTTTTCAGGAAAAAAAAATACAGAGCGTGAATCATTGCACAACTCTCGGGTACTTCGATCTCAGAGGAACCAGCGAACTCCTTAAGAGGATTCATGAATTCCCGGGCAATGAGGACCCGAGGAGATTGAGGGAAAATCGTCGAGACAAACATGATCGGGACGTCAGCAAACGGGCGGCCGGGGACCATTCGGGATATTCGAAAGAATGGCACCATTCGAGATTTTGAGTAAACTCAAAATTTCGTTCCTTTGGCTCGATGAGTCTTACGTAATCGTTTCCGCGTCGCTCCGACTTAGGATGAGACTGTCCGACCGATAACCGTGGATTGTGTCCGTAGGCCTGGGTGCTCCAACACACGACACGGGGGTTCGTGGTCGAGAACGACGAATGGACCTCAGGGTGAAGCTTGTTGTTGTCTGCCCCGGCCTTCGGCTCGGCTGGCGAGCCGTCTTGGGTGGCGCCGCTACCACCGGACCACCCAAGAAGTCCGCTCTGTGAGGGGCTCTATGACAGTCACTATGGCGATGCAGCTAGCGATAAGTACCGAAGATTGACTTCGCGAGACTTCAACGGAAAACGCTTCACCCCTTTACGGAACAACCGGGACTCGGTTCCAGTAGAATCCACTCATTGATGCGTCCGCCCGGCCCCCGAAGCTGTTTCCCTGCTCCAGTACGAGAGACTTGAGCTCAACCAGAACCACAGAACCCTCGGTGCGATCAACGACAGCATCAGCAGCGAAAACGACGACGACAACATCAACAAAGCCGAAAGAATTCCTTTTTAAAGTCCGTCAACACACAAGGGTGCCAGTAGCTTTTGATCACCAACGATTCTGCCCCGAAAGGAGACTGAGCCTTTCTCGAAGTTCGACGCTGACCTGTGAAACATCCCTCGCGACCGCGCCATCTAGAGACTACCACTTCAAAAGAGCATCTATCCGTCCCTTCCAATCACACGGCTCGGGACGGTTCGTATCGTCACTAATTAAACATCTTCCCCCGCTCAGCTCGAGGGGATGACCGGTATTCCCAAGGTAAGCTCTTCCCCAGGCAGTCCCTGCAGCGGGAAGTTGGAACCGTGGTTTCCGACCTGGAAATCTCTTGTGGAAATCCGTCGGGGCGCGAAAATCTCGCGCAGCTGGAAGAGCGATGGACTCCCCGGCGAAGGAACTCTCGCTCGAAGATCCAGGGAAAATCCGGTGGATGACACTGGCCGTTCGAGCGGTGAAGCGAATATCGCAGAAGTCTCGGTTGAGAAAAAAACTTTGCCCTTACGTCGACAATCTCCGCGACGCGCGGGACCTCACACACAGGGGCACCCGCAGGTCGCCGCTGAAGGCGACGCGGCCACCCAATCTGATGATCACTGAGGTTCTCGTTGAAGTCATGGGTGCTGTGAAGGGCGGATGTGAGGAATGTTCCTTGGGTTTCCGAAGAAGCGCCATTTTCTCGGCCATGGATATGCCCCACGAACGAATGTATGCGTTTGTATAGGCTGAGCTGCAGCTATGGGCTGGACAGACGCCGAACTTCAACCCTACAGGAAGAGGTGACAACAACACCTACTCATCAAGGGGAAGGACAGCTGAAGACACGGAAGGGGGGCTGTGTCGGAGACTTCAAGAGTTTGATTGACGCGCTGATTATTACCGAGGACGGCTTGCCAAAAACTAAGAACCATAAAAAAAGGACATAATCGCATGTCTGACATAAGAATCCACGGAAAAGTGATTCGGCGGCGCTCTTCGATCTCATGTCCGAACGCGTCAGACGACAAACATCAACGTCGGTCGGCAAGAGTCTGCCTAATCTGTCGAAATCAGATGTGAAGCGTGAAGCGATTACTACGCTCTCCATTACCCGTGCGTCGAGTCGGCCAATGGGAAACGAAATCCACCGCGATTCAGAGGAATTTGTTTGGACAAAAGCGGACGGATATGAGGCGGGATATCGATCATCACAATGTTGCCGTCTGTTCGCGGTCGCAGAGATCGCTGCGTCGACTTTTGGATGATCGAGTGGCTACGTTACGTATGGTGCGATATCTTCCGCCTATCGGTTTCGTTATCAATGGCTTTTTCTCGAGATTATTATTATTCTCATTCGCGGAAACTCAAATATCCGCTATAGGTGCTCTGTCATGAGCGTCCTCCGGCTGCTAGCCGAGCCGAACATCGACCGCCAAGCTTTGGCGCGGCTGAAGGATCACTCTTCGGAGATTCCGTCGACCTTTTTTTCGTTGCTCTTTATCTGCTGCTGAAGAGCCGTATCAGCCGCCACTATCGGACGCTATAAATTGCTCGTGCGACAAACTTATACCTATTACAGGGCAATATATCTTTCTGTTTCTCAAGCTTTCCCTTGCTCGCGCGACGATTCGTGTCCGACGCGATCGGTATCGGTTGGTCGCTTCCAGAACCTCGGAACAAGCTGGAAATATCGACCTGTATGCGCAGACCTCGCGTTTCGGTGACTCGGCGTTACGTTTCATCGGAGAGGAGACTCGTCTTCCGCTCTTCAACACTGAGCTGCGAAGCCCACGTAAGCGCTGAATTCGAGCCTCGGCTGAGTGTGAACGGGGAGCGGAGTTCGGCGTTGGAACCAAGTCTGTCGAGGGCGGTCAGGCCCTGGAATGCGCGACCCCACGCACCGCGATACCAAATGAGAAAGATCAACAGAGACTCACGTTCTCACGTATTCGGTGCGATCGGCGATGAGATGTCGATCTCGTGTGCTGCTACACTGAATGAATTTACAACACGGCCCGACTCCCTTGCTGGAGCTATCGCGCAGCCGGCTTCTTTCGGAATGGTGGGCTCGAATTCTTCAAATACTTCTCAAGAAACCGAGACGGAGCACTGCGTGCACATAACGCACAGCACTTACGACCCGAAGACGAATGTCTTATCGTATATCGTGGTCAATAGCCGCGCTTCTTCGACATTTATGATGGGTGCCGGCCATTCGCTTCTCAAAAAGTAGGAACCGGACCATCTCAGAACGGGTCGGCGTGACCGCATCCTCCTCAGACCGAATGGGTTCTCTGTTTGCGTCGTTGGCATATTCATGCGATTCGTGAATTAATCAATTGAGGATCCTCGCGACGCGCTGAAGACTCTGATCGTATTGTTTGCTTCCCTCTCGTCGTCTCTCCTCTTCCCTTTGAGGAGTTCCCGAACGGCTGTGATTAGTCAACGGTGATGACGTGACCAGAGTGATTGTTTAAATAGAGCCTCAAGAAGGATGAGAAAAGAAGCTCAATAAAAATGAGACTGGCATTTCAAGTGAGGCGTCAACGTTGCGTGAGAGCGGAAAGGAATCCTGATTGGATTCATTTGCCCATTGCCTCCGACGTCGCGTCGTCATCGTCCCGTGGACATTGCATAGCCGAACTTCAGCGGATGCGATCAGAGGATGGCGGTACCCAGCGTGCCAGCGTCAGTTTTCCCCGTCACTCCCCTACTGCTTCTGTTGCTGCTGCAACATTGTATACTTTCTCGCATCGGTGTTGTTCAACTCGGAGATCGAACGAAACGATGAGTCAACCTTGGCGTTCAAGTACTGAGGTGGTTAGCCTCTCCAGAGACTCGCGGTGAAGACCCGCTCATAATTCATAGAGTTGGCTTCGTAGCCTTTGTTTGGTATTTATTTATACATCATCACCATCTCCTATACTGTGACCCTGTAGATTGCACATTCCTCCATGAGGATCCCGAGGGAGCTCAGCGCTTCTGTGTTGGTCCGCTTGGACTCTGACGCCCCCCGAAGGAGCAAACTATCGTTATCGGCCCCCACATCCACACCAGGGACTTCCCGAAGCGCCCGGGAAAAGGACCCGACGCCTGCGCTATTGATCTCGCTTCGGATGCAGATCTTGGCTCACCTAGACACGTGGCGGCGTGGAACCTCTTGTATCATTTCGCAGACCATATTCTATCTCGATCGAGATGCGATTTGACAGTCTGTTTACACAGAGGAAAGCACTCAAAGTAGACTATACAACACGCAGATCGAACGACGCCACGCCAAGCACTTATTCTGCTCGGACGTGTTGGAGTGCCATCGGGAATGAAACGGGATACGATTTCTCACCGCACTTCCTCTCACAAAAACTCCGGAAGGTTCGATTTGCCGCGCTAAAGTCGCTTTTCGGATTCGAGAGCCCCAATTCGACGGGCTCTCGTATAAATCCAATCTTGGGGGGAGGCACTGATCAGAAGGGTTAGCCGGAAGCTATTCCCTCGTAGGCCTTCTGCTCTCAGCGCCAGTTCCGAAGATTGCCGAGTGAATGTATGCATAATTCCCGTTTTGTATGCGTTCGAATTTAGGGCCCGCCCCGAGTGACGATTCAATCGGGAGTCGCTGCCTTCATTCTCTGCCTTCTCGTTTTCGTTGATTTCAGCTCACTCAGACCAAGATAAGAACCAAGTGGCCCAGTGAAAAATGCTTCCGATGCTATGCGAGCGATACTCGACTCTCATGGCGCTTAGTTATCGAACTCAAATCTTTCCCAAATCGCGCTGCTAGACATTTCGCCGTTCTTCCATAGGTTTTCAACCGCATGACTCCAAGTAGTCTTATCAAAGGATAAACTCGGTCAATCCGCTCATGTTGGAAGTGTCCGATCGATGAGACCGATGCCTAATCCAATCGGATCTTTTCGTCGGACACTGCGGTCTGCGGTCCACTCGAACCGACAGCAACTCGAGCGAAATAGCTAATGCATACTAACAGCCACCCGTGATGATGGAATCAATTTCCGCGAACAAACAGACGAGAAATACGGAGCGCTTTTCATTGCGGTCGGGGGTCTGAAATGCTGAAATGAGCGGATGAGGCTCCATCAAATGTCAGGCAGTGTTTTTCCGCGGGTGTTTGTGGTGAGTCGATCCGAGACGCTCGAGTGTTTTGAACTGTCTTGTACGAGAAGACGACGGCGCCGACGCTCAGCAAGGTGTGAGCGTCGAGTGACCGAGTGTGTCTGAGTGTATAATACTTTTGTTGACAAATCAACTGGCCCGATTGTTTTCAGGTGGAGTTATCCGGCGGCAGGTACGGCTCCGCTGCGGCGACGATATGACGTGGCAGCAGACGGAGACGTTGAAAGAAGACGAGCAAATCTTGGCGTTCTCATCTTGTTTGGTATGAGGGGTACCCAAATTTCAAATATTGACTCAAACTTTGAACCCTGAGAGAGAACGAATGTATAGATGATGGAACCTGTGCTCGATAACGTCTCCTCACGAGATAGGTGGCCCTGATAGGTCTATGACCGCCTCTGGTCTCCTGTCGTAAGTTGTACAAGCGACATACGACACCAGCCCCTGAGACTCGACCCCTGCCCCCTCGTTCGTGCTAAGGTGACCTAAGCGACCGTCAAAACATTCGTCATAGTTTCTCGTTAGCGAACTTTTCCTGCGTGGTTCGAGTTAGCCTCGAGCTCAACGGCTACCGTCAAAGTCCTGAATGCGGCCTGCCAGCGCACGGCAGACCGGATTCGAGACTTCGACTAGAATCGCCACCGGTATCGGAGGGTCTCCTTTCCGACATGCGCTGGAATTGCGTGAATAGATCAGGAGTCGAGAGGTTTCTCGGCCGGCCGCAAATTATACGCACGATCACCTCCAAGTGAAACATTTCTTCGACGCTCAGAGGTATGGGAGGCATGGGAGCCTCAATCACAAATCTCGATGCGGTCGGCTGTTGAGCAGGGTGAGCGGAGGATCTCGGTTGACTCTGTTGGAGTAATTCTCTGTAGGCCATAATTGGTTATTATCACCAGGGACAGGTTTCGAGTGCACATGTCGAAACAATTCCGCACCTATGTTTGCTCGCTGTGGTGTGCGTCTCCGAGTGCAAACGACCGGTCGTGGAATTCGTCGAATAGCTGCCGAGGAACGAGCATTCAAGCGTTTTAGAGCGTAGAAAAGCGGTCTAACCTCTAGTGCTCGGATCTCGGAAGTGTCTACGTGTCGACGTATGACTCATTCGGGTGAATCAACAATCAATTGTGAATTGACAGATCGAATCTGCGATCGCCAGCGTTTTGTCTTCTTCGTCTTCTGCTGCTGCTGCTGCTGCTTCGACCGTCTCATCCGCTCCCACGCCAACTAGTCACTCGCCAGTTGTTTCCGCCGTTTGCTCTAATCGCGAAATTGATTTGTTTCGTAGAGCTCTGAGATCTCCGTTGGGTGATCTCAAGCCGCTCCGGAGACTGGATCGCTAACGAGCGTGTGAAGTGACCTGCGCGGAACATCTATCGCAGCGGTTTTCTATGAAAATTTCTGGCTGAGGACATTCAGGGGGCAGGCATCGATCTCAGCTCTCGAGCCGAGGGCCAGCATTTTTCAGTTTCGCGCAATTCCCTCCCGAAAGCCGCACATGAACGCGAGGATGCTCCTCGCGGACTCTGCCAGGATGACAGTCACGCTATCGTGCTTGGCACGACTTCGAAGGACTTCGCCATGCAAAGGTTTGAGCGCTTACCTGAGACATGATCCGATCGACTCCGGTTCCCTCATCGTCGGCAAACTGGATATCCTTGTTGTAGTTGGGAACAAGTCGGGAGAATCCTTTCGAATATCTAACTATCGGTCCTCGGGGTGGGCCAGACGCTCCGTCGGTGTGTTCGCCCACGTTTGGCACGTATTGTTTAATTACGAGCGGGGTCAGCTTGCGCGGAGGTCGCCGGCGGAAGCCGACCCGACCGACGCCGCAAGCATCAGCCGTGTGAGTAGAAAACGCTAATGCCAAAACTAGGAGATCAATTAGCTGCATGATGTCGGCCCGGTGGCAGTATCTTAGCTGGTGCTTGCGTTCTTTAGTCGATCGGACCGCATAACAGTGGTCTTCAGCGGATGGGACGACTGTGCAACGGGAGCTCAGCACTGCCGGCCGAGAGAACGGTCCTCCTTCACTCGACGCGTGACGAATTCCGTTCTGGCAGAAACATATCAAAAACAGTGTACATTTGGAACAGAAACGGTTTCAGTCGCTGCAGCGGCCACAAGGTCTCACGGGGAACTTCACGCGGCCGGCTGGATGGTCGGCACACAGTACAGAACACGGATTCGAAATCAATCAGGTTGTATTCAGGTGATTCGGCAGGCCGGTCTGAAGCAATCGCACGGTTTCTTTCGAAGTCGAAGAACCTCTGAAGAAGATCCGGAGGGCGGCGCCAAGGCAAACTCCTCCCTGCGATGAGCCAATGGCGAGTTGCGTTCAGGGTGAGAATCGTTCGGCTGAAGCCGTGTGGCTTTCGCTCGTCGGCTTCGCTAGCTTGCTTACCTGTTCCTTTACCTGCCCAGTTGCCGGTCTGTGCGTCTGGCTGTCTCTTAACCCGCCTCGTCAGTCGTCGAGACTCGAGTCGGAGGAATTTGTCTCATAGAAAGGAGGACACCGCATCGGAGTATCACCGCTCGTTGACGATACCGTTTCCCATTCAGCGGTTCCAAGGAATTGGGCAGACAGTCAGTCGGTCAATTGCTCGCTCGCTCAGCTGAGCGTGATTTCTGACGCTATGAGCTCGGCGGTATCGCAATTCAGGAGTAATGCAAGAAACTACCGGACCGGGACGACGAGGCGCATTGAACGCCTGGACGTTCTCTTTAGTTCCTTGCTGAATATCCTTCCTCTCTTGGAGACTTGACGATTTCTCCCCACGAAACTAGGGTTTGCCAAGATCTTCCCCTGTTGATCGGATCATATAATCTAATTTATGCGTCTGCAAAGGGCACTGAGTCGAGCCGTGCGACGGGAGATTTTCCCCCGTCAGATGACGGGACTCTAACCCTGTGCGGAAATCATCAGATGGGCGAGCCCTCCGTGAGTCTCCGGAGTAGTCCGCCTCAGGATCCGGATGACTTGAGTGGTCTATGAGCGTATCCTAGCTGTTCTTCGGCAAATCATTTCGCTCGATATGGGAGAGGCCCGCTATCTCCCTTTGCCGATGGATGAGCATCGGATGAATGGGAGCGGAAGGCTCCTCACGAACGTCTCAGAGATTGGGTTGGTCTAGAAAGGCTCATCGAGCTCAGTGATTCCGCCTCCACAAGTCGAGGCAGCAAGATCCGAGTAAGAATTCGGTATGGAATGACCTCTCTGAGTCTACGTGTGATTCTTCATGATCAGGCATATGGTCTGGAGCGGAAACCGCAGATCTTGCTCAATCTCTGATCAACTACAGAGCCGCCGTCAATGATTCACACTAACGACCTTGTTCAAGCTACTCTTGTCGCGGCTCATCTAGAATCCAACCGCACTCGGTTTCAGCCGCCGCAACGGCGGTTCTCTCTGAGGAAACTCCAGGGCTGTTTCCCCCTAAGGGGTCTCTTTATCGCTATTCAGATGCTGAATATTTCTTTCGTCGTACTCCAGCCCCGCGGAATGCGAAGCGACAGGCTGGAGGATCGGCTGGTGAAGGGTCCCACAATGGGCATTAATTTTCTTCCCTCCCTCCTCCTCCCGGACCCCTCTCAGGGGCCTGGAGGTCCTCCGGCGCGGTGCCGGGGACCGGAGCTCGATCGACAACGGACTGCCGAAGCTTCTCCGGCACTCGCTCCTAGTGAACAACGGAAAAGGTGAAGGATTCCGTTTCAAAAGGGCCCAAGCCTTGCTAGCTCCAAATGCGACCTCAATGATGTCTGAGCATTCTACACCGTCTTCTTCCCGCTAGAAAATTGTGATTATGATGTTGACGAGACCTCGGACGATGATGATGATCACTGGCATCGATGGCGTTCCGAGGGAAGCGAGAAGCATGATATGGCATTTTGGAGAAAGTTTCAAGGGGCCGCAGTTTCGATCAGGGCCCCTCCTCCGCTCTTCTGTCGCCGCCGCTGCTGCCGAATCTTGGATTGTGATTGTCGGAACCGTCCGCGACGACGGATTGTTATGAATTGGAACTTCTGTGTGGTTTTTGTCGTCGTTGTTGTCGTAGACGATTGAGACTCGTCGGCATCGCTGGCATCGACGACTTTTATCTTATCAGAGACCGTATACACAACGAAATTCACCTTTCGAAATCGCTCTTTCTCGACCGGAACGGCGAAACACACTCACCGGGTTTTGAGTTGCGGAGCACTCGCCTCTTCAGGTGCTCATTATACGCAGGGAATGAGGAATAGACGTGGACTTCTGGCTTGGGAATAGAAGGAGGTTTGGACACGCGATCCTTCGCTTCCCGAATCCTTCTTCGGGAGCGAGGCCCATCTGTGATATCCGGAACGTTCTCATTTCGCTCGCCATGGACGAAGTCAACAAGATCCAGCCCCTGCGACGGTATTTGATTTATATCTTCGGAAGCTTCGCGCTGACATCTTCAAGCTGTGTGAGCGCTCTGATTCCGCGTTCAAACCGTTACTATTCGAGGGTGGATTAGATTGTCCCTCAAGACGGACCCTCTGGAGAAGACCGAAGAGCGGGGTGCGTTGGGCGCGACGAGAGAGCGATTTGCGAATGTGCATCCCAGCCAGTGGCTCTACCTGAGGGGACTCTATCGCGCTTCGAAATTGGTTTCACCTCTGACTCGACATCGTCTTAGATTCTCAGAGCATAACTATTCCGGTCAGCTGGGGTCGGATTTCCGGGTTACCACTGCCGAAAGAGTGGTCTTGTCGCCGATAGAGTCTGCCGCCAATGATATGGCAAGAGACGAGTTCTGAAAGAAACTCTCTCGACCCTCGAGGTCGCATAGAGGTCGAATTACTCGTCTGGTTCAATTCTATGGAGGGGGCACGAATTATCCCGAGTAGATGAGGAGGAACACCATGGTTTCTGATTCGTCGGAGCTCTTCGGATCCAAGATTAGCCTGTAACTCAGGTCTTGGGTTTCATTCAACGGATTTCGAGTCGGTATGGCGGTTCCGCGAAGGAGCAGGTCCGAAGCCGCAGCGAAGTCGAAAACGATTGCTACTGGAGTATGAAAACCTCTATGTATATCATCGGGGAAATGATTCTTCCAGATTCATGAGAATATCAAAAGGAACCGTGGTAGACCTTTTCGGACGTGATCTTCTCCACTTGCTACGAACGCTTGCTTGGGCCTTCGGGCCTGCCGAAACAAAATCCCGCCTCTTCAAAACAGCTGCACAAGCGCTCGGGCTCAAATCATCGGTGGGTGTCCTCGGGAAAAGGAACTCAAGCAAGAATTCGGGAAGTCGGAGAGCTCCCGCGTATTCTCGTCCGGGAGATCCCCTGTAAGGGGTTGAGGAGGACCATTCTTTGTTACGCATGGAGTGCGTCCTGATTAAACGTAGAGCGACTGATTCTATGGGTCCGGATGCGTGTCCGGAATGACTTTCTCGATTGGAGATTCGACTGCAGAGAGCGCCGCATTCAACAGAGGTAGGGTAAAATATTTCTGGCAGTGTATTCGTTGGTCTGCTGAAGGTGCCGAAGAGGTGGTGCGGTGCGACAGGCAAAGGAATCGTACCGCCCGCCGTGTGCCGCAATCTTTCTGATACGGTGTTTCTGGTTGTGCCGACTCTCGCACAGGGTACTCACAACTTCAAAATGACTGAATTTCTATTTGAACGGGTCATCGAGATGTCTCCGCCGGGTACATATCCCTCGCAGGGGATCCTGATTCGCGGCAACCTCGGAGGCCAGGAGTACATCATGGAGTCTTCTCCACGGCTAGTACCTCCAAATTCGTCCCTCTGACGGAGGCGCTGACGGAACAGCAGCCTCCGGGTGCTGAACCGCTCCCTAGCCCTCGAAATAGCGCCCGAAGTCTCGTGCGAGAAGAGGAGCAAGCCTTACCTCTCACAGAGATCGAGATTTAGGCGTCAAGACAGCCTGCTTTCAGCACTTCAATGCGTCCATGGAGCGAGTCCGCTGCTCTGCGTCGGAAGCGCAAGGCTCTTTGTGGCGGACTTCCTCATCGAGGATCGAGGTCATCGCTGCCGAAAAAGAAGGCAGCCGTCCCCGACACACGCCCGCTAGCGAGCGCGTCCGCCGGGTGGGCCTTCGGCAAGGCCCGCTACAGCCGCCGGGCCCTCATGGGAGCACTCGAAGACGATCGCCTCTGTCGTTCTGGTGTTCGTCCCGTCGCTGTGACTCGGGTCATCTCTTGAGTTGTCGCCGTCGTTCTGCCGACACGTCGTGTTTTGACAATCTCGTGACGTCTCTCGTGCCGCGGTGACGTCTCCTGCTGGGAAGTCCTCATGTCGCAGACCATCATGTCTAGAGCCCTTAGAACTTGGTTACTCGGGAAGGGGCTACTCCTAGGATGCAGTATAAACCATAAATATATATCAAGTACCTGCATGGGAATGTAGGGACTTGAAATAGGTGATCCTGGATCCTACCCGATAATTCCGACATATGCTTGTAAGTTGTACATACAATAGATTCTGTATTGCCTTGTGCGTGCGTCTCTCGGTGTGTTTCTCATGACAAGTGTCTTCCGAGCCGGTTCCACGGAACCCTCGACCCCGCTTGCCAATTTCAAATTTCCGCGGTCGCATCGGCGCAGAATCCTTGGAGTCCGCAAATCATTCTCACGACTTCCGACCGAGACTTTTTCGAAGATCTTCGCGCCACACATATGCTCCATGGACATGCTGATGGTCGTTAGATCATTCGTAGTCGATCAATAATGCATAAACTCATGTTTTCCAACGAGAGTTCGATTTTTCTGGCCTGACCGAAAAATATACACTGCATAGCGATTATTGCTGCGACGGAGATCAAGGAACCAAGTCGGCGGGCGCGAAGAACGCGCTATATCCGATTGCTCCTTGGAGTTGAAGTTCTGGAAGTCCGAGGAGCATTGAATTCCGGATTTTCGGGCAAGAGTGATGATCCCCCGGCAACTTACGGGAGCATTACTCTGTGCTCACTGCCGGCCTGTCGTTAGCCTGTCACCAAATCTCAGTCGGTCTTGCCGAAACCCACGCTCGGGGTTCCATGCTTCTCGCGAGCATGGCACTGTTCTCTGCGGAACAGTTCTGGATGAGTCTCCAAGAAAGCATAGAGCTGCCTTGGAGTCTGATGGATGCGCCCGGGAAGTACACATGGGGGTTGGGGAACCCAATCAGGCGATCTCGGGGTTTTCTGACTTATGTTCTCTTACTTAGGCTGGCCGAAGAGCTATTAGCTGCTAGAACGAGAAATTGTCTTACTTAGAAGGACGCATCCTGAATAATACCGAAGCTTTTCCGAAATGAATCGCCGGGGAAATCGGAGGACGCTTCCCGGTGAGTCGGAGAGGAGCCGGAACTCTGAATAATTTTATAATCATGGCATGCTCCATATCGACGGGCGTCACCAGAAGGAGAACAAGTCAAATAATCATAAATTATGATAGGGTGTATTTATCTTGTGCGAAAATTACATCTGACTTCCATGGTTGATTATTTATGCTTCCATACTGCCAAAGCTACCATTCACAGATGCGCATCGTTCAAATCCTTAAATATACTCGCTGACCCTTAGGTGAAGAAGATTCACACAAACGTTCTGCTTTTCTCGATCAACGCTGTTCCGTTATAGTAAGATACACTCAGACTTGGACTTCGTCCCAACTCCTCGGAGAAATGAAGTATTCAAGCACTCCGGCGCGAGACATGAAATTCCCCTGATGGTCGAGGGCGTCGAACGCTGACGCCCCCTAACATAGAAGTTACGCATAGCAAAAATACGAAGACCACTGCGTTTGTCTCGCTGGAGCTTCAAAAGCTTAGTATAAGACGTTGTTGATGCAGTTTGGTCAGAATCGCGGAAAACGAGTCTCACTCGGATTTTCCCTAGGAAGTTATCCCGAGAAGCCTCCCTCGATCGGGATTCCTCTTCTATGGATATTGAAGCTTATCACCGCCAGGACTCACGTCACAGCTTTTGCGCCCTCGGGGTTCGGGATGCCTACATTGAAAAAAATAGAAGCACAGCATAAGGAACCACCCGCTCCGGTGGCAGAATCGTGAATACTGATCATTTTGAGAAGGCTGATGAAACTCGCGAGAGGTTCCGACGACGACGACGACGGATGAAAGGAATGAGGTATGACGAAGCCTGAGGAGGTGGTCAGTCGTGACGACGCATCGTTTGAAGGTATCTGACTGAATCAGAGCAGTCTCCCTCTTCATTGAACCTGAGCCCCGTGTCTGACAACCATTGTTCACATGTGAGCAGACTCGATGGGTTCTTCCAATGGCATTCCACTGACCCGCCGTTTCAGGAAGAAATGGAGTATACCTGTGGATAAGTTCCAATTGTCTGATTGCGAATCGCTCCACCCAAATCTCGGCTCCTCGGTGTACTGGAGCCCTCCATGATCCCCGGACAGAGTCCTCGCCTACCTGCTTGCGCCATGACGTCCACGGTCCCAGTCGTGAGCAAATCTTTATCGTGACTGGCGTTCCCTGCGCCGGGTCTTATCAAGGTAGGTCCGAAAACAGTCGCCAAATTGTTGATCGACATCTGCACCGCGAAAATATCGAGTTAGCTCTCGCGCCAGCACCGGCTGCTCGACGATCGGCGGTGACATGTGTGTACGATCCCGATTTTGGAGAATTTTAGTCCTCACTCAATCGGGGAGACCGAGCTCACCTTGTTGTGCTCCTCGTGCTTATTAATTACGACCATGTGTTCGACCAAATGCATCACGATGTTGCGGTTGATGGCCGGGAGCCGTTGAAATAACGCCAGTAATTCTGAGCTCTTCTCGTCCGGATCTGGTTTACCTTCAGGGTAATATGAAGAACATCAATGGACATCGGATCACAAATTTTCCTCCAGAGCAGAGAATCTCTGAAAATCGCGCCCCCTAGAGCCCCTGTCTCGAAGTCGGGTACTCACTCAGGGCTTCGAAGAAGTCCGGATAGAGCTCGTCCGTAAAAAGCGCTTCGGGTAGCTCCCGGAGATATAATTTCAGTAGATGAGCGACTGCGTTAACATCGACCTCCTTCAGCAATTGCTCCGCTTCGTAGGGATTGCTCTCGAACGATTTCCGCAAACGCTGAACATCGGAGTTCGAGCCGGATATTCGATAGATTCCTACTTCGTTGATCCCACGTTTCTCTACTTCTCGGACACAACATCCGATGAGGAATGGCACGGTCGATTTCTCTTTTCTGCAACGGTACGCCAGCATCAGCTTTTTCCTCATGATACCTGGGTAATTAATATATGGGAGTGGGGGTTTCGTTTGTACTCACTTGCAAACCTGTTCGATCTTCAATCCGAAGGTCCCAACGGGTTTACTATCTAGGTTTCGTCGAAGGCACACTTGATACGGCACGTATTTGATCGAAAGGTTCAACGTGTGTTCTTGTAGACTTATGGACTTGTCCTGGAATTGATCCGTGAGCCAGGACTTGCTCAGCTCGAACGTCGCCTTTCCCCTCAGCGATGGTCCCTGCTGCGTTTCCTCGTAGAAGAGAATTCGTAGCGTTTGGGATCCATCCACGTCCATGATGATCTCTTGATTGAATTTGGCTTCCCCACCGCCCAGATCGACGGTCTTCGTCCGTCCCTTGCGGAAGAAGTGCCCATAAGAATCGATCTCGAAACATATGTGAACTGCGGCTTGGCGGAGACCTTCGCCGCCGTGGAGACTGTTCACTCGCAGATGAAGCTCTCCGAGAAGCATATCGTCGGATGCGCGGGCGTTGTTCCCCAGAGTGTTCTTGTTGCCCTGTCAAACGGGATGTGAGAGTCAGGAAGGTTCGCGCGCCTCACAAACACCATGTTGCGGAAATCCCTGATTCGATCTCGATTCAACTCACCGCTGACGCTATACACGAGTTCAGTTCGTACACCGTGGGGGGCGCCTGGTTAGAAAGCATTGCGCCACCTTGCGCGGGCTGTTGGGCTTGAAGTGCGTATATGGCCTCGATCCACTGCTGACGCTCGAACTCGGACGATACGAAAAATTGGTACACCTTGGAATTCGAACAGAGCAAAGTCGAAATTAGCTCGTTTCACTCGGGGGTAGAGGATAACGGCAACGATCGTCAGCTTGATCGTGCCTGTCAATCAGGTATTACAATCATCAAATTTTAAATCATAATCCTTGTTTCAATTATGAAGACGACTTTCTCGGGCGAGCCCGCCCCTGACCGGAAGAGGAACTCGTTCTCACTTTATTGTTCTTGTGCCCAATCTTGAATGGCAGGTTGGGAGAGTGCAGCATCAGAGCGGCCTCGAGATCGGACAATTTCCTCCGGAGCTTGTCCATGTTCCGGGACGTGATTACTCCCCCTTGACAGCCGACGGGGCCTCGCTTGTTTTCCTGCGGCGAATCGAACACACGCTTTAGCTTTCGACCGAGAGCGCTTTTATGGCCCTACTTTATGATTTATCCCTCATAAACAGTAAACAGTCGTCAGGCCTTGTTCTCCCCTCACCCTCTCTTCCGCTCTAACGCTAACGCTTCATGATCAACGTTGGATACGATCACTCACCAACTTTCGAATCTGATCTCTGATGCTGTTGGCGCGACTTCTCAACTGGCACACATTGGTGGGATGCTGCTCGCGAATGGGCTCAGCTGAGGCCTCGGGGTCCAGCAGGGTAACCTAGAATGATGAAGTTTCGAACTGATTCAATCGATGGAAAAAGGACGTAATCAGGATGTTGAAGGGAGGGGACATATCCAGCGGATAGCTCAGCGGTCATTGAAACGATGAGATTTCCGAGACATCACTTACCTCATTGAGAGGGATGAACCATTTAACCTCGAGGTAGCGAGTTCTGCCGTTGCTCTTACATTTCGCGCAAACAAGAACATCATTGAACAGAAACAAATGTCGTAGTTTTCGACGGCCGTCGAGCTGTACCATGAATACGTTGCGGACGACGTGACGCAAAACGCGGTCCTGGGGCTGGAATTCGAGTGAATCGATTCTGAGACCGGGACATCCAACTTTAGCCGGCATGGAAAATCTGGGTTAGAAAATGCAAACGAAGTGAAAGTATCAGACCAGCCCCACAGTGAAACTTTCTGGTTACCGGGGGAAACATTTCCTATTTATCCCGGGTTCCGGATGCGTATGAATGAGCCCCGCGGAATCACTGGAAAGTCCCGCGGAATTTCTTCCTATAGCCATCACCAATTCCAAGCACGGATGGAAGCTAGGCGTAGCTCTTGTCACAAACGAGCGGGTTAACCTCGACGGTCGGACGTCATTTACGGATGATTATATGGCGATCTGAATACTCGGACTGATGTTTACACTAGCGCTCGGCAGACCAAGCATGTAGAGTGTCTCTTTGCCGCTGAACCGCCTGTCCGTGGCGCTGGTGGCTACCGCTGCTTGTCGCACGCTCCTTAAAGCTAATCGAATATGGGTCTGCGCTTTGACGTTGTTGTTTTCCCACGAGAAAGAGCACGTAACTCGAGTTGCATCGAAATTGGGCTTGACAAACGACTTGGCTGTTTGTGTTCCATCGCGTTGTTCCTTCTGCCAAGAGTGTGTGGTCATGGCCGATCGGGGAGTATGTGTCACTGAGCGAGAGAATGAGTGAGTGAAAGAAATAATGTGAGTGAGATTCCACGAGCACCTGTCTCAGAGAGCGTGACCGCGAAATATCCCAATGTTGTTTCACTTGCGGCGTCCCGGATTCCTCAATGCTCCGATATGACAAAAGCCTGACTCGGTTCGGCAAGCTCGACCTGAACATTGACTCGCTTGAGCACGTCGACCCGCCCCGGTCGAGAACGTCCGCACTCCGATCGGCCACGGAGAAAGCTCACGGCCACTAAATCGATGGAGGGAGCGGAGTCCGAGAGAACCGGCACTCGGGACGTTTCCCCTGCAGCGGGGAGAAATCTCAAATATTGCACCCAAAACAAGCAGACACCATCGAATACTGAATAGATTGCATCGGTGCCACCGTCAAGGAATTACTACCGGTAAAGGGAGCGGCCTCAGGACACACGAGGCTCCTCTCTCCCAACAGGCGGTCAAGCGATAGGATCACGATCAATGGAGACACCAGGATCGAGAGACTGACGTCATTCGAGCTCCCGGATCGAGTCCCGCAACCCCATGAGCAAAAGCCGCTTCTCAGAGCGTGAGACTCGCGCGAGAAATTCCCCAGATCGGGCTGGCGAGCCGTTGATTGACTCTGAATTCTGATCATACATACTTCGCAAGTAAGTGAGAGTGCTCGGGCCGTGTCGCACAACCCAATGGTAATCCGTGGCGAGCTCGCGGTAATGCGGTGTCATTGTCACCGACGCGTCGTTGATTCTGGGAGCGGGAAGCCCTGTAATCCCCGACATGGTCGACAACCAACACGGCATCCATTGCTCTGCCGCAAATACAGGAATGGCCTCGCATCCGAAGAGAGTCGCCACGTTCTGCCGGTAAGGCTTCTCAATCATTATATAGCTCGGGTGGACTTCGCCGTTGGAACCCAACTCTCTCAATCGTAGTTGGCGGCACCACAACTCGGACGAGGTCGGACGCAGCACATGAATCGAGGTCCGGTGCAACTCGGAAGCTCGAATCGAGGAGTTCCCGACAACTGCAGCTCAAGCCCCCTCAGCCCCTACCCCCTGCGTACGCCCCCGTGTTGTCTGTAAGCCGTTTTTCGTCACGCTGCGTCATGTCGACCTGCCTGTTACTCATACACTCGACTGATATTTTGTATTTTGCCGTCGTACCGAAAGGCAGCCGCCACCGAAATTCGATTCATTCCAGAGTTAGTAGTAGGAAGGTAGAACATCCAATGCAAGACCAGACCCGCACACACACGGTAGAAATGAGGACTCACCACGGAGGGGGCAGGCTGGATTTGGACAAGAACAACAACAAAAACAGGAAGAAAGAGACGAATGTCAGTACAACTATGAGACTCGAACTTTTCTGTGAACCACCAGACAACATGAGACTTCCCCATCCCGAGAAGGGTTCGAGCGACCGATGTTTGTTACCCACGATCGATGAGCTGTCGTGTTGAGATGCCCTCCCGAACGGACCTTTGGTTATTTTAGTTCTCCCGCAAGGAATTGGTTATACACATATGTATGTAGATCCGCGGAATGAAGCATCATTATCCTTGCTAGCAGCGATAGGTACGAAAAGCCCACTATGGGACTGGGATCGCCTATCACGTATTCAGCCTTAGAATCGTTTGGAGCTTCAGCTGCCACCTCTTTGCATTAGGTGTGCTACTTGACCCCGGGGTGCGGTCGTATACTGAGATCGATGTATCGGGACATGTGTCGAACCCGTGGAGTTACGGAAAACAGGAATGTACTCACCGGAAACATGCTCTCCAATGTGCTGTTCATCTTGAGGTTCTCAAGGAAGCGCTGTGTCAGCTTTGACGCGACTTTGAGGTTATTGTAGTCTTGATGCTGCGCCGATGTTGCCCGAAGAAGATCGTCAATGACAAGCGCATTTTTTTGAATGCGAGCTACAGGCTTGTGGAGCAGATTTTCCAAAGACGTCGTCTGACCCTGCGCGGAGAAAGCCTCCAATGAGCTCGATTCGATGTCGCATACTCAGACGACCCCGAGAGAGTCCGCGGCATTCATTGAATGGGTCAGATAGAAATCATAAAGGGAGGTATCAAGCCAGGTTCGAAGAAATAGAACGGAATTGTGAGTTGTGGGACTACCACAACGAAACGAGTGCGGACGAGGAGAGGAGCTTAGAGCCGGAGATCCTCAAAAGACTAGGCCTACACGAGGACTCAAAAAGAGAACAGGGTAGAGACAACGAAAAGAAGTCTTGAGAGATGGGAGCGGGAGACGGAAAGACACGCTCCCGCACGCGTCAGATCCACCGACCAATAACCAGCTGAGGAGACTGGCCCCCGCGCATGGAGTCTCTTGGATACGACGCAAAGCATGTAATGGTTAATAAATAAATCAATCAATCGATCAAAGCCGTCAATCAAAGTTCCGAGAGCTTACCTTCATCTTCATGTTTTTGGAAAGCTCCTCAAACTTGGCATTGTTCTGAGAGCATCTTCGGACCGCATCGATTGCTTTCGAGTAGTTCTGCAGGAACAAATTGTATACTTCGAGTCTGCTCGCCAGGAACTTGAAGTTCTCCCCGATCGAAGGCCGCCGGATCTCGCATCCCTGCTGATTCGGGCTGTTTGAGACCTGCTGGATCAACATAGCTTTTTCTTCCTGATTGAACGAGTTCCTTCGCGTCAGAGCAAAGCTCCGAGCGAGCAGCGCACAGTGAGTTTTCAACGAGGATTCTAATCATAATCATTATACCCTTTGCTGGCTTCGACTTTAATTTTCCGACTTGAAACGTTCTGAATGTATGGAAGTCGCAGTTTTCTCAAGTAGACCACATCATCAAATGGCAAGCTTCAGAAAGCGAAACAAAGCCGAGCAGGAATAACAAAGGGTGCGGAAACTTTGGTGCGCACAACAATGCGCCGCCGGTCGGGAGAAAAAAAACGTACTCACCTGAAGATTTCGTCGCAGACCATCCCTAAAGTTTCTGTGGACGTCGAGCAGCTGTTCGATTTTGAAAAAAATTGTGTCGACGTCCTCCCGCGAAAGTACCGCCTGTCAAGCGAAGAAATGTTCTTCAGAAAGCCGTTCCTCGATACACAAGCGATGCCAACTCGTGGAGGCTCCGCTGGGGAAGAATTGAGAAACGACCTCCGCTCGACCGACCTACCTGATTCGTTTTTGTCGCCGAGCTCAAAGCTTTTCCGTATTGATACAGGACGTCAAGACAGTCGACATAAGCGGTCTCGCTCTCTATGACAGATTCGACGATCTTCTTGACCTGAGTGAGGATATTGGAGGAATTCTCATCATACAATCTCGAGCAGTCCGGCGAAGAGATCCGAAATGCTTGCTCGGCATTCGCTGTCAAGCTCTGTATCATTATACCTATTATACTACTCAATATGATACTCACCACATTGTCGATTTCCCGGTCGTCTTCGGCTAATGAGCCGTTTGAGCCCGTGGATTTTCGGAGTTGTTTCTCGGGGATCTCGTTCTCCTTCAATAACAGCGGCAAATGAAGTGCGCCGATATGTTTCAGCAAATCAATCAGTTCGGCTGATTCATCCCTCAATAACTGTCATTTCGAAAAAAAGGGTGGATCGGTCTTACGTGTTTCTCTTTGCTTTTCTTCGGGCGGAACTGAGGTGAAGTCTTCGAAGACAGATACGATTCCATGGAACTGCTGTAGACACCTATAATGAAAGAGACATCGAATGACTTTTCCGGGTTCGATCGACTCTTCGAATCGGCCACGGGTTGTGCGAGCGCACGCGTGACGCGGAAGACAACAGATTGGGCCCTGGAAAATTTCGCGCCAGCTAGGACTCATCGCAAACGCAGGGATTTCGGATTCGCCACCGGAATAGTTTCTTTCATGTGGGCTGTATCAACCTCCGCAGGGAAAAAAATCGAGAATCGCATTGTATAGTGAGAGCGTTCGAGAAACTTTTCTCTGCGAGCCACCGTCCTCGATACCGTGGGTCTCCTCGAAATCGATTCACGGAAAGACTGCTTTGATAACGGGGCTCTGGCCATGGAGCTCTCGTGACCATTTCTTTGCCCGTCGTCGCTTAATAGGAGTGAAATAATGAAAGCGTCAGTGTGTCTCTTCGACTGACTGGGCCCTCCCACTTCCCGGTCGGCGCCCAGCAATCCCGAGGAGTCTCCCGGATCGGAGGTAGAGCTCGTACTTCGTAGTATGATGACCATTCCGTGATCACGAAACCTGGGTGGGTCTGCCGCCCCCGAGTTGTGGAACTTACGGGGAGCGCTGAACTGAGCACGCACAGGGTCCCCACGTCGTCGTTACCCAACGGAGTTTCCTCCCTCGAGACTCCGAGCCCAAAAACGAGCTCGGAGTCTTCAAGTATTTCTGATCTCCGCCGACAGCCGCGCGCTTATGCGAAAAAATACCGTTCCCGAATCACACGATATTCCGACGGAGTCGACTGCTTGTGATCTTCTCTCAATTATGATTCTGGATAGTTGCCATCAGACCCGATTCCGGCTGTTTGTACGATCGATTCATGGTACCAGACGCCTCGTCTGCTCGGCTCAGCAGGAAGGAAAAGTAAGACGGAGACCCTAAAAAAGCATCGGGAGACTTCCTCCAGAGGAAAGCATCATTTTCTGTCATTGGAGTCAGCAAATCTCGGTTCCAGGGAGGCTGCCCTGCGGCCGGCGGCTACTCCAAATAGATTGAGTCAGCTTCACCCGGCCGAGACATCTGATCTGGGACAACCTAGTCCCTCGAATAGTGGTTCCCTCGCTCCGATCGAGCGCGTTTCTTCATAAGCTACAGGGGTAGAATAGATTGAGCGGGCCGCCATTTCTCGTATCACAAGCGTGTTTTCCTTGCTTGTGGCTGATTGGGTGCTTGCGAGACGGGCGGCGGTGGAGACAGTCGCTGCAGGGGCAGAATTTCCCGGGGTCGTTGTAGAGTGCGGGATCTAAAACGGTCGACTCCTGACTGGAACTGTCGCGTCACCGCGATGATCTACCTAGTTCGGAAAAACAGCTTTCCAGGTTGAAGCTACCAAATGATGAACTATTCCGCGAGGACGCAGGAATAAGGATCGACCTCTTCCGATTGTTTCGCATGTTGACCCCATCCGGGCAGGGAGATCGTGGAGCCGCATACAGTAGATAAAAGCAAGAGCTCGCGGAATCTCCTCCGACAACAGCTGGAGGAAAGCGAGTTCCGGGAAAAGCTGCCGCGGGGTTTTCCAAGGGGAAAACCCCTCTCCTCCCTTTCGGTCGGGCCCCCGTAGGCTGTCGATGGGGAGCAGCCGTTCGCCCCATTCAAACGAGAGGTCTCCGCATGGTACGACGTCAATAACCTGCGCACCTAATAACTTGCATGACTTAATAATGCAAATCCACCATTGTTTGGACAGCTCCGAGCTCTCGGCGTCACATCGGTCAATGTTCCGTCAGTGATTGCTCATCGGCAGCTCATTCTTCGGCATCCAAGCCCTAACTCAGAGCAGGAGTCTCCCTCTCCTTGTGGCCTTTCGATGGCTACGCTCTCCCCGTATACACAAGACTCGACAGCGAGAACGACGAGATCGTGGATGGCAGCCGCTGTATTTCGGAATATGTCACTCGGTATCGCCGACCGAACAGCGACGTCGAAGCCATTATCGCTAATTCCCAAATTGGCTCCGAATTTATGAACTTTTGTGTCCCATTCTCTTCCGGTCGTCTCGTCGACTCAGCATGCGCGTATTTCGAATCGTTCTCGACTCGATAAGCCGAGAAGCGGGTGACCGATGTTAGATACGACGAGAGAGTTTTCGGCGGCGGAACCGGCAACAGCTTGTGAAAGAGGAGGCAGTAAGGCACCCAACGGGCTTTTCTTAAGCTGTGCTCGTCCATCCGCTCGTTTGTCAGCTCGCTCCAGTATCTGGGGCTGCCCGTGAACGTAGTGCTCCTTATTTGGCCACTGACGAGCGCAGCCGTCGTCAGCGCCTCAACGGCCATACCACCAGCACTGCCGGCGTGTACGCACTGTCTGCTCTGGACAAAAGTTTCGCGGGTGCCTGTTTGAGCATCTGGACTTTGAAAATCCGCCACACATCAGCCATGGGGACCGTCAAGCCGGATAGCCCGTATTCCATAGTTTCCCAACAATATTTGAAGGCTTCGGAGTCGTTGGAGGGGGAAAGTTACACTCCAACAAGGGAATAAATCCCCTGCGCTCTACCTGTCCGAAACACCTCGTATGCCCCCCACCACAACGGTCTTTGAACGTTCCCCCGCGCCGTTTCAAGAGACACTCATCCGTCGCTGAAAGTTATGCTGATTGTGTCCCGAGCGACTCCGCGACACTCAGTATCCTCAATTAAATCAGAACGGAGCAGAGCGAGCAGTCGGAAGGCATCGCGCCGGCCTGTGACGGCTTCGCCAGTCTTGTTGCCATTGTCGGTGTGATCGCCACTGACGTTGACAGCAATGGCGACGTCTTGAAGGAACTTGATTCCTCGCTTGGGGGATTTTTCCCAAAGACCGAAATCAGGCAACCCATCAGGTATCCTCTCTCGGAAGCATTAATTTCACCCGAGTTCGTTTCCAGACTCGTCGATTGGCTCGATTTCAACGCTTCATTCTACACAACTGCTTTGTCGGATTTCCACGGGATTCCAGGCGACGTGGAGGAACAGCGAAGGTCACCGGCTCAGAACAGCCCGCCACATAATGGAGGGTGGGTGGGGGCGCATAGCGCAGATTCAATCTCGTCTAGATCTGGCAGCGGAACAACGGACAACTTCAAAGCTTGCTTCGTTCCGTTCTAGTTTGAGCTGTTCACCCGACCATTATTTTAGTTGCTAGCTGTGTGTTTATGAACGACCTTCTGAACTGAAGAAACCTTGGTAACCATCGGATCCGATGAAACCGGATGATTTCAAGCGACGGTGACGCTGCTCTGAATATTTCAACTGATATGTTCCCCATACGCTCGGTGAGACCTTCCGAAATCGATGGAAGCCGGCACGGAGAGTCGATAGACCTCGGAGAAGACCGTCATCAGCCGGTACATTAGATGGATAATGAATTCCCATCCTCGTCGTGAACTTGACCCTCTCCCCCCGTTCATGGAATTGTTAGAGATTTTCACGCTCTCTCGTTATGTTTGGAAGTTATCCGAATCATTGCGTAAGGTCCGTGCACCTATCTCACTCTGCGGCTTCAAAGAGGGGGAAATCGTGTCGCGGGTATCCGGGATTGATTTGGAGCGTCGAATGCAGAAATCATGAAAATTCATACTGAGAATCAATGAGTCTATGAACTGTTGACAAGCGCCGGGAGATCTACCACTTGGCGGTTTCAATGGTACTTCCATTTGAAGCAGCACCCACAGTGAGCCCAGTAGTGGGCTCCTTATTGGCGTCGATAAACTCAGCCCTCGACCATCAAGTGATGATGAGCGACGATCACATACGCACCGTCGTCGAGGAGGAGCGCTTAATGACAGTGGATTCGACGTTGTTCAATACATAAATAATAATCGGTCTATGAGCTGAGCCAGCAATTACGAGCTCGCCCATGAGTAAACGAAGAGACCGCCCGAGTCTAGAGAAACAGAGCACCAGAAAAGCTTTGGAAGTTCCACTCTTCGTTACCCTCGAGTCGGGTCGCCTCTGGTGTCAAGAGATCGTCCAACGATCTCCAGAGCTCCATCTGGGCATTCGATACACGGAACGACGGAGGCTTCTTTCCTCTGCTACTGAGTCGACCGTCACAGCATCTTTAGGCGAGCCAGATGGCTTGTTGATGTTGTTGTAGGTGTTACTCTTGGTGTTTTCGATTCCAAACTATGTAAGTGTATATATTTCGATCGACTGATCCTGTTATGTTTGGTGCCGGTGCAGCGCTGGCAGCAGCAGCCCTACCATCCTGATGTGTGTTCATGAGGAGAGGCCTCTTGTTGGCTCCCAGCGTTGTCATCAACACAGAGAAAGAGTTTTTCTTTGTCGACGCATGATTTAGCGCTGGACCCGGAGAGCTCGAAAATACTCATCCAGCCGGATCATTACGACAATTTCCCGAGCGAAGCCTCTTTCCGACTCGGGACTTCCAAGTTCTCGATGTGTTCCGGAGAATATTCCTACTCATGTATTTTCAGATAAATACTTACAACGAAAAAAAAACAGATTCTGAAAGCTCGAGAGCCGCGTAACGACAAGAGGCACCCATCCGTCCTCCGCGTCGAGACCTAACGGACAGTATGTCGCATTGATACCAAACGGGGAGGCTACCCGATAGGCTCGCTCGTAGATTCGATGGAATATTCAAAAGGTTCATTTCGAGTTGTTTCTCGCACTACAGAATAGGAAACGTATAGGTGGATGACTAAGAACGTCACCGGGAAACTCGCGATTTTCAGCCCGTTCTCGTGAAGTAGCATGAGATCGGTTGGCGGCTAGCTACCGACGTAAAACCCATGAGTAATCCCGCTCGGGAGCTCTTTACGGATATCATCATCATCAACAACGTCGTCGTCGTCGCGACAGTCGTCATCGCCGGCCATGTGATCGCTGCCGAGCGCCATTGTTGATTTAGCTCCCGCAACTATGGAGGGACCGACTGACGGACGGACGGACGGACGAAGGGACGCAGTTTCCAGAGACTCAAGCGCTCGTTCCGACGACGGTCTGAACGCCGCGCCGCCGACGTCAGGCGAACGACTTCCCTCAGTACATGTATTCCGTCACCTCGGACGAGCGCAGAGCGGGGACCGCACGAAAACCCCAGACAGAGGGAGGCCATACATCGAATGGATCTGCCATGAGACGAGGCAGCGCAAATCAACTCCGGTCATGCTCGATTCACTTCGGGATTTGAACATTGACGGTATAGGCAGCTATTCTAGAAGCATGACGTCGAGCATCCGTCGTGACTTGTGCGAGTTGTCTTCGCCATGAAATCTAGTTAGGGAGTGGTGAACTTCACCCCTGGCTCCTGGAACCCTTCACACTGTCCGCCTGTTCATCGCCGATGAGAGAAATGTACCCTTCCTGTACGAAATACTTTCCCAGCAATGGATAGATTACACGTAACGTCGCCGTCCGTAAGGAGCAAAGTATAGACGGTAAAAGAATTTTCCGAATACGAATGAAGCATTTGTTCTCAGCAACAGCAAGAATCGGGGTAATAAAATAAGTCTGTACCCGTCGCAAGCGTGAACGAGGCGCTCACGGTATCGGCTCCGGCTCGGAACGCCGCTTTCCGCGCGTAGAAGCTCCTTGACGCGACTCGACAAACAAATAGAGACAAAATTCATCCCAATGCAATGTTCTTGAAAGTCATCATCGTCTGAGACATCAGCTGATTGAGAGCGTGGTGTGGGCTCTTCAACCGCCTCCGGAACGCCGCGCCGTTCGAACACCCAGAGGCACCACGGTCTTGCATTCTTTGAAGCCGTTTGCTCGTTGGAGCCACGATCCGGCTAGCGGTCAAGTCGGTCTACTACCACCACGATTCTCCGCTTCGCGCGTGGGTTGGACGTCCAACACCGCCTGCTTGCCAGCCGTCCGTCCGAGCGAGGATCCGACCACTCTGCTTGTAGATAGCGAAAGACGAAGACGCTCGGCGACGTTGTTCTCGCGTTTGGCTTTGAAAAATCGCAGAAGAAAGCCGGTCGATTTTCGACTTTGCGCGCGGCGACAACTCGCGGAAATGTACGGACCGGATGCCCTCGATCGAGACGTTACCTCTCGTTGTTCGGTACCCAGTTCGAACCCGTCCCCCAAGAAGGCGATACGCGGAGACTATCTAATGAGATGGATCTGCGGCTCATTCGAAGTCTAATGAGACAACAACGAAGTGCAGACCGAAACTCTCAGATGAGGAGCGTATCGAATCAGGAAGATGCGTTTTTTAGAGCTGCTCAGAAACCTGCACGGATCCGACTCGATTATTATTCCTGATTGAACGGCGTTCTATCCTGTGTGGTATCGAGTCGTTCTTCGCTCAAATATGATAAAGGAGTCGTTTCCGATGGTTGTCGACGTCGCTTCGCAGAGTGTGTTTATCAGAGGTCCTGAGCGAAACAGAAGCCAGACGGTCGCGCGGTGACTTTAGCAAAGGCATTGACGCATGAAATTCGCAAGCGATGTCGGCGCTCCCCTTCCATCTTAGCCAGCTCATCCCGGTACAGTGTATTTGACTGGCGTTGGCGACCATCGTCGCGGGATCACGATCGACAGCCAGCCCCCTATTATGAGAACGGGTCGCTCGCGTTCTCCGTGAAGCGTCAGCTTCTGCTGCTTCTCGGATGATCAAAAGCTGGGAAAGCGTTATTCCCTTCTTCGGTCGCTTCTTTGATTGGGGTAATATATTGGGAAGAACCGTTTATTCCTCGAAGGAATGGATACCGTGGAGAAGTGGGCGGCTACACGCGATCCTGTACGAAGCTCACTTGGGATGCAGTTCGGATTCGGGATCATCGCGGATGCTTCGCTCCATGTACTGCCAAACGCAAACAAACAGAAAAGCGGCGTTGGCAAGGCTATTCACTGGGCGTTAGCTCACGATGGCGAGCGAATTCGCAATACTACTAAGTATAAAACGGAGGAATCCGAAAGTCCATCGGCGGGGAATGAGCTTTCCAAATCGGTCGTAGAGTAGTTCCTCGATGCCGCGGTGAAGTACCGACGCGGTCCTCTCCGCCATCGCTGGAAGGAATCTTCTTCCAGCCACAATGAAAATGCAGCCGGGTGAAGCGATGAACGAAGAGCGAGGAAGCCGCTGAACCCAAGCTATCCACCGAAGAGCCGACGGAGGAGCCGACGACGGACGTGGTCACCGATCGCAGTGAATGCTCCGCTCAATGTACGCCACGGATCAACCCGACCAGTCGATGGCCAGAAAATGATCGCCCAACTTTCTGGGAAATTGGGCGTTAGACTCAACAGTGTGTACAATCATTGTAGATATCGACCTGATAACCTCTCAGTCCCCCAAGAGTCTCTCTTCCGTTTCTTCGAACCGCGAGTTTTCCCTCTCTTCTCTGCTAATGCTGAATTCATATCTACGAGTGATTTCGAGAGAGCACGACATCTCGGAACCCCTGGGCTCCGTCGGGCCGGCAGAAAACATCCAATCCGGCTCGACCGGCCCCGAACCTCGACTGAGACTGCTGACTCCGGTAGCTCTGACAGTTTCCGATTTACGCAGACAGCTGCTGCGCTTGTTGCCGCTTTGAACGAATCCGTCTGTTTTCTTCTTTTCTGAAGAAATCATTTGCCTCAACTGCTCCATTTACCCTAATGCTCGTTTCTATTGTAGACTAGGTATTGTCGTTTGTGTGCGATCCATTCTTCGCGGATAACGGGTTGAAGGTGAATCAGAGAGGCGCTCATCGCGAGTCATGGGTTGGGAGATCGGGGCACGCTTCCCGCTCATTTCCCTTACGTACAAACGAGGCCTCACTCTCCGTGGACGCAGTCAAATATCAAGCCGAGTCCTGTCGAGCTTTGGATTGCCGCTAGGCTGTAAATCCCCTAGCACCGAGCATGTATATTGTCGATAGGGGTCCCGTTATGCGCTCGGAAGTATGCCGTGTTTGGCGAGGAGGCGGGAATGTGGGTTTGGCCATACGCGGCTGTCAGAGGTGCCTCGAGGGACTCGCGGGCCCACTTCAGATCATCCGAGTCCGGCGGCCGCGTCCGGCGGCTGCTGCGGGCCAGCGCTCTCCCGCATAGCGAGCCGCGACTGCGACGGTAGATTTTTTTGACCTCTTATTTATGCGACGAACATGCATGCGAGGGAGACTCCCCTGTCGAATACGTCCCTAAACGCTCGAATGCATCGTAAGCGAGCTGCTTGATGTGACGCATAAGCGTCGCCTTTACCGTCACGATGACAGACGTCGCTGAACTATCGTCGCCAATCGCACTTGATGTGTTTTGGGAATGAACGCTTAAGGTTCCATCGAGGACGGCTGCATTACCTCAAACGAGTTTTTCGCATAGGATTCGAAGAGGAAAATCCATCACCGATAAGTCGGACCGTCAAAATCAACACACGCAGCTGGGAAGGAGTGACTAAGATCCAGCGTTTTTTCCGGTGCCATGCAATCGGAGACGTTTTCTCGAACTGAGCTGAGCTCAGACCCGCCAAAGGCAATCACATTCCCTGATTAGCTGGTTCTCTGTTCACTCGGGGGCAGCAGCTTCCTTCGTCCGGACAGGGACATGAGATCGCTTCCGGTATGGGACGTACCTTCTGCTTTGGAGGCGATTGAGCGACACACACGCGAAAAAAAAGATTCCTGCTCACGATCGGGAGACCAACGGAACTTCACACGATCCTCCATTCCGGGGATCTTTGACGCTAACACTAGAACCCGATCCATGAATCGAGATCGAAGCGACCGCGAGAATATTATCATCGAAGCTTTCATTGCGTGAGAGCGGAAGGCGAAAAATCAAAATAATCCTCAAAGATTAGCTCTTAATCCGCCGGTTCCCATCATCTCAGAGATGCTACAAACGATAGGACCTGCTTTAGGGGTTCAGACTAAACCGTGAATGCCCTCGTCCCGACCCATCTCCTCCCCCCTGCCTCCGTTAGGGGGTCGCCGCCGGGAATTCGACTCCGGAAACCTCTCTTGGACGTGACGTAATCTAAACGGAACCACGGCTCCAGTAGTCGTCCATGCGTCACGGTCGGCACTCGAATGATGATCGGCATATCGCGCACTCAAGAGATTAGTCAGCCGAGCCTCGAGGAACGTTCTCTAACGGCTAGCCGACTGAGCTAGCATACCTAGAAGCGTTCCACCCAACCCACCTGAGTCTCCGTCTAAACGTTCTTCTGATTTCCCTCTTCTCAAGGGAATCTGGGGAGCCGCGGCGGCCTCTGACTTCCCGGGAACTGGCGGTGGCTTTCTCGTCGGTTTCGCTTCTATCAGACCGCTGCTGCCGCTGCCGCCGATCGGGAGGCTGGTCGTACAAGTCAAATCTTCGCAGCTCTTCATCTTATTCAAGATTTTCCTCCGACGGGGCTGGTCTTCGGTGTCGCTGTCCTCTTCGGTAGAGTCGGTGACGAGGGAGGCCGGAATTCTCCCGTAGCCTCCGAATTCGACGTAGTCCTGTTCGCTAGTACAGCGCACCCCATCGTAGTCTTCGTCCTCGTCGGCGGCGACCGTGTCATAGATCGGCGCATCGTCCAGCCCATCGAAAGAGCTGTCGTTGGAGCTAAGCGTCGAAGTTTTATCGAGCTTCCGATGAGAACCTGCCTCGAAGTCGAGCTGCGTGTCGGAGAAATCCCCCGAAATCTCTTTGCTATTATGATCCTTAAGTAGATGGAGCGTCGAAGATTTCTTGATATCACCGCCGTTGCCGCCACCGCCGCCGTAACCACCACCGCCGCCGCTACTACCCTCGGTATCCGACGGCCTTCCGAGCGATGACGCATTCGATGTGTGCCGGTCCAATTTACAGCTACTTCCGCTCCGTTCGACGTGCTGGCCAATTGAAAGGATTGACTTGCGCTCGAGAGAGGAGTCCGTACTCTGTACGGTATTCGTGTTTCGTTCGAGCGACGAGTCATTCGATTTCGACTGCGAACTCAGATCGCTCGCCGACGTCCCGCCGGCGGTGGTCATCGGCCGGAGGGGTTTAGCCGACCCGCCGACGGGGGTCGAGGGCTCTGTCGACGCCTCTCGGCTGCTGAAATTGTTCAGGGCTAGGTGGAACGCCGATGTGTTCGAAGAAGTTGACTGATTCGACAGTTGGGAATGGAATTTTCGCTCGCTGGCCTTGCCGAACGTGGACATTGCGGCTGCCGGTCCCCCGTCCGAAGGCGATTCGTCAGCTGTGGGAGTCGAAGGAGCCGAGGCTGAGCCGAGCCCCAGAGAGCTGACCACCGATGCGGGCGGCCATTTGGCGGCAACCCGCTTCGGAGGTGGTGCCGGAGGCTTCTTCTTCAGAGGTCGAACCTCTTCCTCGGATGACGACACAGCGATCACTGTCACGAAATTTTCCGGATCGGCGCACGGATCTGCTCTCGGGTCGCCCTTCAATGAATTCTCCCGGGATAGCGGACCGAGAGGGGATCGAGTCTCTTCTGAGGTGACGCTACGTCTGCGTTGTCGTTCATCGCTGAGAGCTTTTTCGAAATATTCCACCAAGAATTCTTCCTGCGCGAGTTCCTTGCGGAGTTGACCCACCCTCGCCCTGTGGGTGGTCAAGAGAGTTTTGATATCCTCCTCGAATATCAGCGATAATTTATCCTGGGGGAAGCGGTCAGACCAGCTCCGTTGCAGGTCTGAGAATTCCATGATCATGGATCGTTGCCCTCCGATGTACTCAGTCCGTCAGTCAGACGTTTATTCTAATAAATTCGGATTCGACCATCCACGTCGAACGACGCCGCCGCTGCTGCTGCCGATGTTTTTGTCCTTGTTGTGATCGATCTCGCTTCTTCCTCTGTCCGACGAGTCAATTCACACGCATTGGTGCCCGACACTGACAAAACTTCAAAAAGGAGAGGTGGGTGTAGTGAGACTAACTGGGTTTCAAGGGAACGGCCCGGCATCATGTGACAGAAACGTTGACGTCGACGGACACCACATTCTCCATCTTCTGTGGGTTCGTTCCAGACTGCGCTATTAGAATATTCAGTGATGTGGTTCCTTTTCGTGAAGCCCCGAGATGATCCACTCGGGCCAGTAACGAATCAGCTGATGGTGATGATCGTGAACTGTCTGAGCTTCTTAAACTCTGCTGGAGATGCGCTTCTAAGCTCCCATGTAAATTCACCGCGATGTTTCCTTGCCGGGAATCAGGTCGTGGAACAATTGTCCGGCTTAAGCTGAACGCATCCACACCGACGTCGGGAGTGACCCGAGCACAAGATGACACATCCGACGGAGAGTTGACTGCTCGCTTCCGTCACACTAACACGCAGAGTAGAGGACTGAATATAGTCGTTATCCCAGGAGACCGCAGCGGCGGAGACTCTCGAGGTATCCAGGATCCGAGCGAACATCAACAATTCCCCCACTAAAACCCGCGTTGCAGCCTAGAGCCGAGAAGGCGACGAATAAAACACGTTGAGTGAAACTTGTCAAGTTAATGTGACGACGCACTGATATCCGACAGCCGGTCCTGCTCACTCCACAACGTTCAGAACTCACTTTACCGGCAAAGCGACATGGCACGCTTGTTGTGGGAGAGCCACCACCACCACCAGCCAACTCGCAGCACAGAGCAACAGCAACACCAACAGAGTCAATTCTCTTACGGGCCGTAGGGGGCGCTGCTGCTCGCAGGGTCGTCTGCCGATGGCGCCAATGGTGGTGTTCCCCTCCCTCGGGTTCCCACCACTACTCTCCGAAGAAGCGACTTGCTGAATTTCTGAAAGCTGGAAGTCGGCCTTTGGCGGCGCATGCGCTAAAACGCATGCTAAGCCTTGGACGCACTCAACCGTCTTGTGAGCGCGCAACCGGCAGGTGATCCTGCAAGAAGCTTTTTTGACGGGACATGGGACTTTGAAGTTTCCACCCTGATCAGGGGACGAGCGGATTTCGCCCTGGGATACACCCTCCTCTCCTCCGTCTTAAAGAGTCCTCGAAGGTTCAGAGACAGTGCTGTTCAGTGCAGTCCGTAGTTCCCGTTCCGAAGCGCGAAGGAAACAAATTATTCACACTGTGAATAAGAGATGGGACCGGTATTCTCGGAGTCTTGGCGAAATATACCGAGGAGGCGAACGAGGAAGAGGAACTCCGCGAGTTACCCATCGATGAAACCAGGCTCGCTGGGCGAAATTATTTCGAAAGCACGGAATTCAGTCAATAATCTAGGAGTGTCATCGTGCCGTCCCGACTTCACTTTTATCTCGGGAAGCGGGCCTCGGGTCGGAGCTCCACTCTAGCGAGAATTCCTCTTCGGAAGGTGGAAGAGTTGAACTTATTGGCAATGTGTCGAGGGAGAGGGAGGGACCAACGAGAGCCTCGAAGTCGTGAAGACGTCCATCGTTTTCTTTCGGAAGCTGAAACCTGACCACCCGGTTCTTCGATCGACTTTGAGCAATTATAATTGTTATTGATGAGTCCATCCACTCCACAGCTCTCATTCATCGAGGAAACGTTTTGACGGGGTTCGACTCGGAATTAGATACAAGAAAAGCTCGTTACTACGAACACGAAGGGACCGACGAAACTGGTTCGTTGTACCGAGTTTTCGCTGTAACGAATGCCGCTCAACACTTTCCCTATGGCGGGCTGGCCAAAGGAGGAGAAATTCCATGTTCGTTGTACCGAGAAATTCGTTGTAATGGGGGGTCGTTATAACAAGCTTTTACTGGAACTCATTTTCTTAGAAACAGCGGTCCTCACGAATCCCGCGAAGCACCACGATCGTACCGACCCCTTTCTACCCGCTGTTCCTATAGGTTCCACTGTCCCTAAAGATTGAAACTCACCAAACTGCCCCGGGATATCCCCAGTGGAGAGCGGCCTCCAAACTGAGGAAGACATACTAGGTCGGCTCCTAGGATAACGATAATCCTGCCATGTTGAGGGATACCATTGGCTTGATTCTCTGACCACGGTAATTCCTTCATCATACCTCCGCTATGATTGATCGATCCTCGGGAGGGGCAGGTTTGAAAGTGTTCTCGTTCCTCCTAGATCCTAGATATCATGGAGAATCCTTAATGTAAAATCGAGCGTCGAGATCCGATCGGAAAATCTCCCCATTTCTAGGATTTCGACCAGTTTCCCTTTTCCGACGGAGCCTCGTCGGAGCGTTCACGGATTGGGCTTATGTCAGCGGCGAATCGAATCTCAAATCGTTCATCTGATCGACGACCGGATAAGTCCGCTCTGTAAGCTCCTTTAACGTGAATTGGACTCCATACATCTTCTAAGTCTGTCAAGAACGACCCAGGACCCCTAGCAGGTGGCTTAATAACAGTCGGAGCAAGCCGCTTAGTTAGACTCCTCGAGATCGCGTTTGTTAGTCGTGATTAGTTGATTAGCTTCAGCACTAGTTCGCCGAGAAGCTCATTCCTGATTCAGATCGCGTTATGTCGTTCTTCGATTTTGTTAATTACTCTGGAGCCTGATCTCGAGAACCGAGACTAGGCTGCGCGAAGAGACGCTACCCCGATTGAGTCGACTCTGATGGAGAGGATATTCTTCTTGCAGTAGCGCAACTCGGAGGTATGAATTACCATGATTCAACCAAAGAGCTCCTGGAAGTCTACTTGAAAACGAATAAGAGTTGCAATCTGCCTCAGATTTTTAAATTTTCTCGTCGCGACTTCGGACTCCTGTATTCATATTCTCTTGAATTCGAAGCGGGGCGCCCACGAGTCAAGAGCGAGAAGAATATAGGCAAATACGACGGAGCTGTCGCTCGGAGGTCAATCAGGAGAAAGGCTCTGATTTCTAGCTTTCCCTCAGAGTTCCAGTAGCGTCCACCTGGAGGCTGAAGACCTTGTTGGGGAGTACGACACTTCTGGTGATGGGGTACCCAAACGGACCCTTACAGTCGACGATCTGCAGCCAGGCAGAATTGGACGATTCCGAAATCGGTTGATGTATCCAAACTGGTGGGTACATGAGTTCTATCGTATGAATACTGTAGAACTCACGTCGGGCAGTTCTATAGATACTCGAGGGCTGACCGAACCTGGCGCGTATCGCTCGAACGGGAGATCGCTGACCTTCCGAGACGCGACGTCTTCGGGAGCATGAGCAACGAATCGCTAGCCGAATCCAAAGACTTTACGTTGAAATCGGAAGAACTCGTAGGAAAGGAAGGCCTCCGGCATCGAATTGCGAGAAAGGCTCGAGGATCTACATTCCGCCGGAGCAAAGGCTGGAACCCGAACCTTCTGAGCCGCCCTCGATTTCTGCGTCGATTTTCCCAGATATTCTGTCGGTTGCGGGTTGCGGGAGGGTTTGCCGGCGGATCTCGACGAAGCTCCGCGAGCTTCATGCCCGGAGTCTTTCGATCACTGTTCCTTTCAAGAATTGCGTCTACGTTCCCCTTCGGAATCGGCTCTTGTAATCCGATCCGGGTCTCGGGAACGGACGGAAGATCCTAGCCTCTAACGGAATTGCGCCTTCAGTGACGCTCATCGCTGCCGCCTCCATAGCACGAGCAGGCTGGAGCTTATCCTCGACTGTGCATCTTCAGCCTGCATTTCCCAATGGGGCAGATGCCGACCAGGTCCGAGGATAATTCTTTCGGAAGGGAAGGAATGCACCTGGGAGGACTTCTCCAGGTTTCCGAAAACACTCTCCGAGCTATACAAATCTTTGCCATGCGCACCATCTCTCTGTCCCCCTAAGACGTATTAGACGGGCAGCCCGAACGAGGGCTTGAATATCGATCTACTTCGAAAAAAAACCTCAGCCCACGGAGGGGGCTCGAGATCGGAGACTGTCGGGGTCTAAGCTCAACATCCCAATTCCTATAGGTACTTCGTGTCTGCCGCCTGGCCACTCTCGCCCTTGTGTGAACTAAGCTTCTCCTCGGAGCCTCCTCTCCCTACTTCTATGTATAGAGACGCCGCCGACACTTCACTAAAACAGTGGCGGAAGCGCTTCAGTGATCAATTGAGAAATCGCGATAGAGTCAGCTATACCCAATAGTGTGCTTGAGCTCCTGTCCCGTAATACACCGTAAGTTTTCCGGTGGCATTGTCGACCTCCCCGTGTGACGAGTCACCGTGAGACACTGTCTGGACCCATTAAAGTAACACCTGGTTCGCGGCAAGCATCGTTTTCACGTACACCTCCGGAGAGGTAGTTGCGGTGCGGATTATTTTTTCGGTAAGTGAAGGTCTCGCGCAAAACTTCCGACGAATGGGGAGGACTCTCCGCTGTGACCTGCCACTCGTCACGGGACGCGAGTTCGCGATCGGAACTGTCAAGAACACTCCGAAATACTTCTGCTTGGCTTGCTCGGCAATGCACCGATTATTGCGATACTGCGGATCGAATGGTGTTCAATAGCTTCTGGGTCAATGTGCTGAATCGCTACTCGAAAGTTCCATTCATGTTTTGGTTGCCCATCGCTTCCCTATCAACGGACGGCGTGGAGTGGCAGGATATGAGATTGGAACTTCACCCGGTTCCCCGCGTTCCAGAGATCATTCCTGTTTGACTAGCCGGCAGGCTGGCAGCGACTCATGTGTGTGTGAGCGGCTGTCTGTGTGTGCGTCTGTGTGTGCTCGAGCGTTTGTCACTGTTGTAGTGTCTCAGGAATACTGTTCGCTAGACCAACCGACTCCGTGGAGATTTGCTGCTGTTGAATTGGTGTCTTCGAGCATTCGGAACTCCGGAGCCGCCTGTGTTAGAGATCGACCCTCAATCATTTGTGCCCCCCAGACCCGATCGGTTCGGCGCGTCGTAGGTGACCTCACCCCTGTGTCTCCTGCATGCGATAGGAACCCCGGGGTGAATTATCGGAAAGCTGCGAATATCTTGAACTTCGCCTCCGGCTCTCGCGTTGCTCATCATTTATTCGAGAAAGTGTACGAAAACGGTGAGACCAACGCCGTATGATTCTCGAGTTTCCGGAACCCTGTCGAGGCGTTCGCAGGAGAAACGGAAACGAACATATTGATATGCTGGGAGTCGCTGCATTGTAGATTCGTGGCAATCCGAGAGTGTCGTTTTGGTTTTTTCGAAAGCCGCTGGTTGCTTGCGGTATCTCGTTGCTATGTTTTGGCCCGTCCGCCAAAAGCTTGACGGGCCATTGGATTTGCCCACCCTTGCAACGGACTTACATTCTCCGACATAGCCAGCCTCCACAATGTGGCACAATGCATGATTCCTGCCTATCCGGGTCGGATTACGCGTTCGTTGTCGGCATCGCCGTCGTTGCCGCCATCGTGACAGTGGTCGGTCGCGGCTTCGATTCGGTTCCGATAGGAACGGGCCAGTCGAGTGTCGATCTAAGCTGTTAGCGATCGTCTAATTGTCCGCACACCATGGCGATGCCTGGCAGTGGATTAAATCAGAAAATCTTGACAAATCGTGGCGTTTAACTTCTAATTAGATAGAATGATTCCTCGTTTTCCAGGTAGCGTTCCCTTCGCTCCCATCCACCGAGAATTCGGCTCAGTCACACGATGACGGAAAGTACCTTAGCCCCGGAGTCCAAACCTCTAGATCGTAGTCCTGAGGGCGATGGCCCCGCTTCGGAGGGAACCCACGACACTTCCGATAAAGTCACCGAGAACGGTATTTATTCACTTCCTCGAATTGTACCTCATTCCGAAGTTTCATCGTGTGCTTTGAAAGTACTTGAATCATTGGAACGAATATATAGACAAGGTCCTTGCTGTTGCGAGTCCAGGCGACTCCCAAAGCGTCGAAGAAGAGGTCATGGATGATGAAGACATGGACGCAGAGGACAGTGGAAGTCAGAAAGCGGACGAAAAATCACTCACAGAAGGCGATGGGAAGAAAAGGTTTGTGTACTTCAGCGAGTGAGGTATCCGGACTGTTTCTGCGCCCAGAGCTCAAGCTCTCATGGAGTGACGGGCCTCATTACCCCGATGTTCCTGTCACTTCGGAACGGTCCTTCCCCCGAACTCATTGAAGACTGCTCCTCCACTAAAACTTCTCTCACCCTCCTCAAGATTGATACGAGAAACGCCTTGCGGGAATGATTGCACAAACGGGTGTAATGCCAAATTTCCCGAGGAGCTGAGGATTAAAATCTACGACATATACTGGGGCTTTCAAGGGGGATCCGAGGTGAGTAGGCCTCTCCTTTGCTGGCGAATACGAGGCGCGTACTGAACATGCGGGTCCCTAACGTGACTCTACTGAAGAGCGTATATCTTGAGCGCCCAGAGTCTCTCTAATGCACAAGCGGATTCCAGGAACAACAGAAATGGATGGAGAAGTATTGTATAGAGAAAGCAATACCAAAAATATCTGCGAAATCGATGGGCTCCACGAGGAATCGCTCCTTCGTTTACTTATACTTCCTACCTCATCTGGAGCAGAACCTGCAGAAGGTGAGTTCAGAACTGGTCCAGTTCATCCTCACATTCGCCTTTTCGACATTCGATTTTTCATGTGGATATTTGTTCATCAACGGACGAATTTTGAATTCTTGATTTCACCGAATTCCAGATACGCGTTTGTAAGAAATTCTTGGCGGCAACGTTAGGCATCACGGAACGCATCTTGTCCGGTTTCGTGTACAGATTCGTCGGAAACGGTGGCTTGGATGTCGAAGACACCGAGTGGTCACCGATGGCGGGCTACGAGAACTGCTCTCGCGAACAAATGTTCCTCTTGCGGGAATTCATTCAGGGACTGCCGGCGGAGCCTGTACACTATTGCCGGTAAGGTTTTCGTGAATGCTAGGAGTAACTTTCTTACCGAGGAGCCCCTGTAGAGGGGCTTGCACGAGAAACTCCGGGAGAGCTTTACGCCGAAATCAGAGGTTTCCGTCTGCGAGTCTATCTGACGAAATTCCTCCCTCTCATCCACAGGAACGAGCAATGCACGAGAAAACTTTACGAGCTGCCGTCATCAATTCCCGACGTGAGCACGTTGTACGGCATGTACTCGTCGTCCGAGGAGAGCTTGAATCGCGAGCCGGTCGACGAGGGCGTGTTCAGAAACGTGCTCTACCAGGATTACAACCTCTCCTTCTGCACCGCGACGCGCGGAGACATCTGTTCTGTCCGGGAGTACCGGAAGAGCGGCAAAAAGTAGTCCGATTCGCTCACTCATTGATTATAGTGAACTCATCGACCATCACTCCATCAATCGATCGAATCACGCTCAACCACGAGCTCCAAGCTCGGGAGGAAATCGTCAGAGCTTTCATCATCTGGTGGTGTTTCGATTGACTCGTATATGATTCACGATTTCGCAGCATTCAACTTGCGACTGCGGGAAATTCCTTTTCTTTCTCGAATTCACCGTCGACTCCATTCGGCTGAGAGAAAGGGAATTCCTCAACTCGCTTTTATACAGACCTGCAGCTATTTTTATTGATCCTGATCCCTTCTCAGTCCTCATATGTCGGCTCCGAGAACGAACTGTAAACAGCTTTCACGACGAGATTGTAACTCAAGCGGCCATAGAGATGACCATCATCATTCTGTACGACATCCTTCAACAGTCAACGCGATTCTCCAGAGCGACGACTGATTGAGGAGTCTGTCGCAGATGGTCCGTGGCAATCGACACTTCGATTTGGCATACCTCGGAGATTCGATGTGGAATAATTCTGCAATCAGGTGCGGAATCACCGGAATTAAGAATCGGCTGTCATCTCGGATGGATAGCTCGAGGCAAAATGTACATCAATTAATGTCTTCTCCCGACTGAGCGTCAGATCGGAAGAAGGTTCTAAGCGATGGGGTGTGGCTCCTGAAGCCCTTGTGTCCACGATTAGCCTCTCCCCGGGATGTAGCTTAGGACCGCGGAAGACGAAGCTTCCGAAATACAGAATAAAGGGTTTTATGAAGTATCAGAGCGTATATCTAAAAAGTGTTCAAGATAATTCTACCGGGTAGTCGGCCTCCTTTCGTAGAGCACCCCATCTCACGTGCCTCTACGGCGCAGTTTTCTGCGGGAAAAATTCCCCGCTCTGCTCCCCATACTCATCGGGATATAATTAGGCGGCTTCTGCTGATCTGCTCCGTTAGCGATTTCCCCCTCGAAATTCCTTCGCTCCATGGAACTCCATCGGAATCTAATGAGAATGAATTAAGATGGACACCGAGCGAATTGAGGGAAGGATACTCGCATGGTGCTCTTGAATGTGCGTTTCTCTATTCTCGAAGAATCAAATCACGGTTTTCCTCATAAAGCAGGTATACAATTATTAGAATCACTGACGAGACACCACGAGTCCCTGACAATATGCGCTCCCGATGCCATCACAATTTTGCGCATGAAAACTCCTTCCGTCGATGCTTCCTCCGCGTTCTCTTCACCCTCGACGGAGGCTTCCGTTCCATCGTTCCCCTCAGAGTATCTCATCTCCTCCGCCGAAGACGACGACTCGGATTCTTGAAAGTGGTCCAAGTGCCATTTTCGTCGACGAGCGAATTCGCTCCCCGGATTTCTCGAACCATCAATGCTGAATGGGTTGTACGGGTTGTACGAGCTGTAGGGGTTCCCTGTACGAGGAAAAATACTGGAGTTTATCCGAGGTTAGCACCCGTGAACCCACAGGAGTTCCCGGAGGCCTTGACGAATTCCACATTGAGATCCTCAGCCAGCGAATGAATGCAGGAGAATCGACGATTAAGGAGAGGGAATTTCTCAGTTTGGAATATCGTGAAGTCTCTGCACGCACGAGATGAACTTACGCCCGTGAATGTTCCTCGCCAGGATATTAAATATCGCTGGATTCACTGCCGACAGCTCAACGAATAAAACTGAGAGAGACAGAAGAATCACTGTGAAAATCGCTGCTTGCATTCTTGACCGGCGAGGACTGAGACTCCAAAGAGCCCTGTCCTCCGAGTCTCCAGGTTCTGAGTGAACGAAACTGGGGCCCTCCTGAATGGGTCCCTGGAAAGCGAATGAATGAGTCTGAGGGTAGGATATCTTCTCATATCCGTCCGCGGCGATCAAGATTCATCAAGACGAATCACTGTGGTAAGCACTCACGTGCGCTCGCCACTGCGAAAGATGTATTCCATCAATCAGTTGCTCTCATCTTCCGAAGTGTCTCTATCATAAGCCGACGCGTATAACTACCGGCCTGATCATCGCTCCGCTCCAATCTCCTTGTCCCCTGCTACGCTCCAGTTTCGCTCTTGTTATTAGCTACGGTATCGCCAACTACATTGCTGGAGAGGCTCCTTAGCATTCTTCCAAGCCGGCGCCGGCGCTTCAAAGGGTTTCGGGATCTTATTGTGATCAATGATGCGTCGACCGCTGCCATGACGTCATTAGGGATCGCTGTCCTTCGAGCAACGCTGCTCGGGAGTCGGAGAGCAGCGGAGGGAAGATTGCGAAAAATTCGAGCGCAGAACCTCGAGTGCGACATCGAAGCATTCGAAAGATACACGAGCTTTCAGGGTGACAAGACGATGCCTGAATCGAACGAAGACGCTCCACATCACGCAGGGACAACAGTAATACTTATTTATTCTTAATTTAGGGCTCTGCAAACCGAGCCGAGTTTTATTTTAGTCGCTCCGGGCGGAAACTTCCCAGTTCTTTCTTCAATAATTAAATTGTGAAAAGTTCCCGTCGTTAAACAATCGCATGTTGATTTTATGGACCGCTTGTGCGCTGCCCGGCCGTTGTCATTGAAGCTGCGTCATGACCGGCTGTTGAAGGTCTTGCTGCACAATGTTTCGGTAATCGCCTAGAGAGCGTTCTTTGGCTTGGCTGTCTCGGTTTCCTGAAAAACGATAGCTTTGGTTAGTTCAATTGCTATAAAAGAGATGGAATCGGAACTCTTCGGATCTGATTCTTCGAGAATACGTATATTCGGCTTCCGTCGCATAATCCCACCTCACTGTCGGATGTGGCCTCCTCGCCGAGGAGTAGGTTGTCTCTAGAAGGTATTTGCAGGTTCATGTGTTTGAAGTGTTTCCCGCTCTTTGCTCCTGCCATGGCACTGGTTCTCTGGAAGATGCGCGCCATTTGCGCAAATTTCCGCTTCGATACCTTGCCCATATTCTTGAGCTTTTCTCTGCGAAAAGAGACTCTCATTATTGACAAATTGTCGCATTATCGCGAGGAGCTCCGAAATTTCAAGATGACTCCGAAACCCACCTGAAGGCTGCATCGTCTTGCATGTGCTCCTGTCCGTCGGCTTTTTGGCTCCCAGGACCGTCGAGAGAGCTCATGAAATCCTTGTTACGGCGTAACTGGTGCATGAACTCTTCATTCTGGAGGAATATGGCCATTCTTTCGTCCTCGAGGAACTGTGACAGCTCCGGATCTCCGGACGATGTCGCTTCGTTCGACGATAGACTGCTGTGGAGACGTAGAAAGTTCTGCGGCAGCGGACCCAGGATCGGAGGGTTCCAATTCCGGATGTCGCGCAAGGCTTTCGTGGATGAGCCGGAGGCTCCTGCTTTCCTGCAACGGCAATACAAAGTTGGGAAGCTGCCACAGCGAATAACACTCGTTCAGTTTCGGATTTATATCCGGGACGACGACTCGCAAGACCTACTTCGCGGGCGAATACGGTGGTAGTGTTGAGGACGCGCTACAGGCGAGGCCGGATGAGCTGCCTCCTTGCTGATACTCTTGTGCTTCAAGTTGACTCCGAAGTTTTTCATTCTCCGTATCCGTCGACATCGTGAGGAGTTGATCGATCGTAGCGTCTACTGTGCCTGAAGAGAGAAATCCCCAATCGTCAATTCACTCCCACGCCAGCCGGTGAGTTTTGGCAACGACTAAGGTCGGTTCCCAACACTGGTTGACCGCGGTCTCGATTCAGCTCCCGCGGGTAGGCTCGACCGGTTGAGGAGCGAGGAAAACTTTCACGTGAATCGGAAAGTGTTCATCGGTCGCTTTAAAAGAAATAAATCGAGCTTTGAATATCATAGAGTAGTTCGTTTCTAAGTTTACAGTTCGACGACCGCCGGGGCGGGCGCGTTCATCGGCTCAGCTGATCGATATCGCAAGGTCAGACGCTTCGGATCAGAACGAGGCTCCATAGATTCCAGAGCCGCTGACAGAAAGCCGGCGTGCTGATGCGGCACCGCAGGACTGACGAAACTCCGGGAAACCGGCTGAGAAAAGCTGTAGAAAACGAAAGGAAATACTCAGCCGACACGCGTCGCCATCAGGGGGACGCGGGTAATTTGAGAGTAGTGCGGAAGTTGTGGCGACTTCGGTGAAATTGAAGAATCATCATTATAATTCAACGGGCGTTTCCCCTATTCTCTTCTAACAAGGACTTGACACCCATGATCGGCGACGTCACTCCGTTGTCAAGCTGGCCCGCGGTGTTCGTGACCCCCATGTAAGATGACATGTCGTGACGACTGTACAGTCGCTTCGAAGCTTCGGAACATCGCTCCACGGGGTCCCACTGACAGTGCGATGCAATTATTCACACGCATTCGAACGACAGCCTCGATGGTCAACAAAGGAGACCAAACTTCGATATGAACTGGTTCTCGCTGTCGGGGGGAAAGCCTCGGTGTGGTCAAGGTCATCTTCAGACGGAAAACTATTCATCATTCTTAGACACGAGTGAAAAGATTCAGAATAGAGCAAACAGCTGACAAGAGCTTTCCAAGGCGTGGAAGATCTCCCGTGAAATCTCTTCACGCCAGATTCCTCAGGGAAAACCCTCCAATGAGCGTCCCGTGAAATAGACAGCGAATTCTCGGTGTGACGGAAAAACAGTGAATTTTTCCCTCATTCGACAAAAATCAAACCGAGTGCGAGATTGCATTTGAGGGTTTTCGCTCGGTTTCGAGACAGATAATGAGTTTCCCGGCTTCCGAGGCCTTACGAGGAAATGAAGGCCTTGCTCCGAGACTTTCCGCTCGCGATTGATTCTCCTCGTCTCTCCATTCCCGAGAGTAGGATGAGAGAGTCAGACAGAAACTCTGCCGTAGAGCATATTGACGGCGATTTTTCCCTCGATGATTCATGCGTCGATTATGTTGATAAGTATTCCGGCTTGTGGCCGAAGTCTGCCCTTGGAGCATCGGTTTTTTGTTCTTCGGTGTTTCCGCCGGAAATTTCGGTCCCGATCGGGGAATGTTTGTCAGAAGATCAAAGAAAAGAAGTCTCGCAGCTTCAGCCCATTCCTTGACACGCGAGCTCCAAACCCCACCCATATTCTGACCTTTACAATTTTCGAATTATGTGTCGAGGCTGATCCATTAAAGCAGGTCGGGTAACAGTCCGGAGCGATACCGAAGTGCTTTGCACTGATAGGTCGCCCATTTGGGTACATGTGAGGAGCTGACAAAGTAAACGTCCGCCGCGGCTTGCCGACGGTGAAGCTCGCAGCGGCTCGCCGGAAGGACTTGATAGAATAGGACTGGGTCATTATCATTTTGCATTCTATTCGATCTGAGATTACGTCGTCGAATAGTATGTCGTCTGATCAGGCATCGAAGAGTCAACGTCCATGGAACGAAAGTTAGCACGAACGGCTCGCGCCTCACTCCGCAAGACATTCTGCACCATCGATAGCCGAATATGCGGAGCTCGCTGCATAGAGTCTCTGACTGACGACCTTCCAGATAGCTCTGAGATTATTCAAACTCCTTGCACACGAACTCAAGGGACGAGGGTGGAATTTCGTGGTTTTCAGTTTGTAGTCGGCATCCTCCTGATTTGTTTGCCTCCCTTTTTTCCCAAAACCGCTGTTGGAGACACCCGAGAAGTTGCGACAGACAGTTCCAAACGGATACTGTCAGTGGAGCGATGCGCGCACCGCGACAAGCCGCGAGTGAAACAGGACCCAATCGATCACATTGAAACACAGAAGGTTTTCTTCACGGATGATATGGCCGCGACATTTTCATCCTCTTTAGCGCTCGCGAAACGACATCGTTCGATGTGGGTTCATGATTTTACGCGTTCCGAGTCCGGTGCTTTCCGAAGAGCCGTTATCGGCGTTTTGTTGCGGAATCAGCACAGTATTTGCGTGGGAGACTCACCGAAACGCGTGGGAAAGTTGTTCGACATGCAGGCGTACGCCTTCATCTTCAAGGGTCGCGAAAGCCACAACGAGTGAACAGCTCGCACAGTTCCACGTACTGCATCCCCCATGGAGGAAGTTTGGAGTTGACGCAGCATCACGAACACATAGTGCGACATGAAATCAATCCGGGCGCAAAGAGATCCAAGGGACTGGCACGGACGTATTCCATCTCCGTAGGTGGATGATTAGCACTTCGAACTCTGTCTCCGCGTAGATGTCAAATGACCGGTCCCCCGGCTGGGGAGCGGTTTGACGTCTCTAGGGACAGCCTCGTCTCGACCACTGCCGCGGACGAGGTGAGAAAATCAGTCGAATGAACCCGACGACAAGCTGTCGCAGCGAGAGAACGGGATCGGGTAAGAAGCTGCGGTGGCGGCACCAGCTGGCGTCGGGCCGAAGGTAACTTCAATGCCACCGCGGCGGAAAGGAGGCGAACTGTTAGCTCCGTTCTCAGCGAACGGATCGGACAAGCACCAAGGTGAAACGGTAGCCGTCTTAACACTTCTTAATTAATCCGAGGAGTCATGCACGGAGCAGAGGAGCTCCATGCAGCGGCCGCTCCCGGACTAAACGGAATTTGAGCCGCTCCGCAGTCGAGAATTGGGAGAGGCCGCGTGACAAACGCGGTTAATAATGACCGGATGTCGGAATGCCCAGGGCACAACTGTGAAACAAGTCTTCCTGTACCTTGAGAGAACTTCAACTGTTTCGTTGCTTAACGATCGAATGAGCGTAGCGGAACGCCGGTGCGAAAAAACCTTCAGGTTAAAACTTGAAAAAGCTCCTTGCTCTCTTTCAGAGAGTTCGGTCTCGAGCATCACTAAAGCATGGTAATTCGATACGAATCCCGCGTGGAGTTCTCTTCATCAGTGCTGCTGGTTTCACTTTGATGGCTGTATCCACGCTACACATGAGCGTCATCTTCATGATTCGAAGTCCCTCGCTAATTATCGTGAGCTGAAAAGCCTCAATTAGAGCTCAGTGGAGCTAAAAAAAGGCGCTGATCACGATTGCTCGCTATAAACTTGGAAACATGGTAGTGATGGCGAAACAGAACCGTTGCCACTCACTCATAGCGTAACTTGCCAAGTTCTCAAGGCGAAGGTCAAACGAGTTTTGGCGCTATAATCGGTATCTCTTTTCGCGCGTTCGTGACCCTCCCAAGGGGCGCGGGTTGAACGTTCCGGGAAACTCAGAGCCAGCTCGAAGAGATACAGCGCCGGCGGCTTCTGGCCGGCGTTCTCTGAAACGCTATCAGTTGGCGAGAGGAATCGCGATAACGGGAGGCCAGACCCGGAACGCGGAGTTCATCCGGGTTTGAACCTTTTGGTGGAGATCCTCCGCGAGAAGGTACTCGGGATTGAGTTGACTTGCTCAAGATCGACACAGAAATCGATCGGACTTTGGCAAACGAAAATAGTTCGAAGCATCTCGAGATACGCGAGACCAGCGAGATGACGAGTCGCCGCAAATTGATGAGAAGTTTCGCTGAACGAAAACCCAGATCACATCAGCCTCTAATGCGCTGATTTATGAGCCTGAAGTATAGACGAGACAAGCTCTTGCATTAAGTAAGCAGGTACAGAGTGGTGCAAGTAGCGCCCGGGCGGGCATTACCTGTCCAACAGCTGAGACGATTTGCTGTTACAACGTTGCAAAGCAACGTTGAAGAGCGCTCCATGGGGAAAAAACTATCCACAGGTCGACGCTTTTCAGTGATACTGTTCTGCTTTAGGAGGCGGGAAAACAAAGGGAGCAACTGAAGACAGCGATCGCTGAACAAGAAGTCTGAGCGAGCTTTCGCAGCATCGTCTGGCTGTCACTGAGAACGTGATTGGAAACGCATGCTCACGACTGAAATGGTCGTTCCAAGCGGACTCCACGACTCGCGACGAAATACATTCAGGAAGACTCAAGTTGAAAAAAACTTGATAACTCCTCCCCAGAAATTTCGAAATCGACAGCCGATCTCTTGCCTCCCTATAGATGGATTTCTCTTGTCCACAAGATATCGAAAATATTGGAGTGTTTGCGAGATCGATTGTTTCGTACAGGGAAGGGTAGTTTCGGGTAGGCCATCGTGGTCGGTAGTCGGACCGTTCAGCCTGCGGTTCATTGAGGCGATTCTGAGGCCGGGGATTTAGGGGGTACGAAGTTTCTGGTACGTTCGCAGCCGGGCCAGGAGGATGGACGAGCATCGTGCGCTCTTATTTACAGATAATTTGAGGCTAAATCTTCATTGACTTTGTGCTGAGATTAGAGAGGGAATGCATCAAGTCACAAGCTCACCGAGGATGAACCACGCTTCAAGTCTCGGGTCGTGAATTTGTCGGCCTGATACAGATACCACGGCCTGTAGCAGGCCCGTCATATATTCGATGTAAACCGATGACTTCGGATCAGACTCGCGAAGAAGCTCCGGGGAGCAAAAAGCGCACCACGAAGTGCAACTACACACATTGGCCCATCCAGGAAACACCATCCATCCGAGTGAGTGACGCTCCACGGAGGGGGGAGGGAGGGCTCAACAGAGTTCTCGATATACGGAGACACAAACGCAGCGCCCAATCGCCACTGTTGCCTGCTAGTTCATCACTCCCTACAAGTCATTATTTTCGATACTTATTTCGATAACTATCATTCGATTACACTCGAGATAATTCGAGCGTGCGTCTCACCGTTGTTGGCTCGGAGCACAGCTTCTATGACGTCAGGGTCCATAGCTGGGAACATGTTCTGGAAATCTTTCATTGCCTGGAATGAATTGAGAAAAGTAAAAATGGGAGCTGATCATCAACTCGGAAGGGATGGTTCGATCGATAGATGATCTTGGAGAGAATCCGTTGAATCTAGTCACTGGGCACGGTCCCGGCTCAGAGGGAGTCTGTCGAACCTGATTGAATTCCAGGTGTGTTGTGTCGGCTCCACTGAGGGCGTCCACCACGTTCGCGATCGGCGCTGGCTCTTCTCGGTTCTCCATGCTGAAAAGTCAGTTAAATTAGGATGGTCGAACGTCCTTCAGGAGACTCAAATGATTCGGGAGTGATTGTCGGAGTCTTGTACATATATTTCCTCAATAGCGAAAGTCGCTCGGTACGATTTCTCGAGAGGAGGGAAACTTTGACTCAGTTCTCAGTTTATCCGTCAGCTGCGTACGGAAACACTGATTGTAAGAGAGCCGTATCTGACCATACCTAGAATCGCTCGTCAGAGGGAAGCGTCTAGCTAGCGTAAAATCGATATCCATCAGCATTACTCGTTCAACGAGGAATCGCTCTTCTTGTAGATATAGCCTGGCGCTGTGAAATTTCAATGCTCTCGATAGTCGTGGCCCCGAGCACAATCAGCTGATGGGAGCAGATCGGTACAAAACTCAGGGGCAGTCAGTCGGGCTCAGACGCTCGGGCTCAAAACCATCCGTCGTCGAACACTTCACGGACATTTGCAGCCGCCTTTCGAATTTCGCCTCCGAATTCGTCGACCAAGGACCAAGTCAGCTGGTCAGTTCCGATAAGGTTGGGATTGATCTGTGTTGCGGAGAGTCAAATGTCCATTGAGCAACCCTCTGGGACTTTTGACGAAGAACTCGAGGCAAAGAAATTATTTCACCAAGACGAAGTCTCCCTGCTCATGCATCGGAAGTCCGTGAATCGGGGCCACTGAGGTTAATCATCAGAATGGGGAACTCGTCGAGTCCTTTCTGTCCGAAAAGCGACTTCGATGCAGGTCTCTCGGTTGGCGAATTAATTGCTCGCTGGCTGAGCACGGAACACTGAGCGAGCGAGTCGGCGCATCATTGTGCATGCTGGAGAGGCTGTTCGCGGAATACACTCAGGATTCTGAACAATACCAAGTAGTCATTTGGTTCCCGTCCACGGTCCCTGACCCTCGAATCGGGAGTCTCAGCTGCCGTCGCGGGTCAATCTCTCCATGACACAGCCAGATTCGAACTTTCCTGGACACTCGGTCCGATGGAAGTCATTGCTGTGTGAGAGAGTAAACCAAACATTCGACGCTTTTTCCCGGTTCCGCGGCTAGCCTCCCTTCATCGAATCCGACTCCACCAGCATCTCCAGCTACTACGCGTTTCCCAATCCTTGAGGGTGTGGAACATCGATTCAAAGAATATGAAGACATGGATAGAATTCGGGATTTTGGAACTTACGTCCAGCTTTTCTCACTGATCTCCACTCAGAGTCGCGTGTATAGTCCTTTGACAGGTAACAGCTGATTGCTCAGTCTCCGCTCTGACGATGAGAGACACGTAGATTCCTTGGCGTCATTGTAGAAGCGGGCAAAGCTCTGAGAGCTTTGAGGTAATCGCTCCGAGCAAAGAGAGCTCTCGCTGGAAGAGTTGCAAAGAACGGCACCTGCTCCGAGCGCTCACGGAAAATGGCTATGCCGTCCCCTCGGCCACAGTGCACCCAACCGATGGTGCAACGGTGGAGAATATGCGCGATGAGCCGCACTCACTCGTCTCCGGAGCGATCGACAGGATCCCTGAGCTCAATGTGAGATTAAGCGCTATGTGGAATGTTTCGATGTCAAAGGTCACCGTCGGCTCTCGTCTAGCATCCAGTTTCATAGTCCTGGAAACGCATGGAAACACGAAGAGCTCCGACAGCCTGACTTAGCTTGGGAGCGAAACCCGAGTGACCAGAGACAATGATCTCCTCCAAATTCACGCTCCTAGAGGCGGGATAAGGCCAGCTCTCTCCTGGTGCTCCGCGTTCTGGAGGTTCAGAGAGAATACGACGCTGAGTGAAGTGAATCACAGCGATCTGGAAACTGATCTAGGAATGGGTCCGAATTCCGGCGCGCTCAGTTGTCCGCAGTGTGGTCATGATTCATGTTGGAGACAGCGCCCTCTGAGATGTCGTCGTCCCGTGTGGATTTTCGCTCTACCTGGTGGCACGGGTAGAATGGAAATCGCACGTTTGTGCGCCGTGCTCCCCACGGAGTGGAACTCCGGCTGAGGAACCGCTTCTCTCACGTATCCGAGGAACCTCAGTATTCGTGACACCCAGGAGACGAGAACTCAGTCCCAAATGTTGGGAGAGATTGAACACAATGATGTCCATGATCTCTGCTAGGGACCCTCGAGCGGACAGGCGGTCTTTTCCCGCTGCGGAAAGGTCTCCCGGACCCAATATCAAGGTAGATCACGGCATCGCAAGGCTCCCTCGCCTTCCATAATTTCGTCCTACCCATGAGCAGTTGCCGGCGGTTTCAGGTGTTTAAACGATGACCTCGGAAGACTACGGAATCGGGAAGCCCCCGTGTTCATCCTTCTTCAGATTGAAGATTCCCCAACAACTCTTGACGACCGAACGTCTCCCCACATTCTCCTTCTGCCGCGAGCTTCTCCGCGCCGAAGGACTTGGTATAAGACTCGGAGCGAAGCCCTCGGGTGACAACTCTAATGACGAATGGATATGGAGGGGGATCGAGTTCCGATTATTAGCGTTATAAATATTGTATCCGGTACGAACTCGGCTCGAAACTAAGTGAAGAACTCTGAAGAGCAATCGATATCTCGAGACCAGCTGCAAGGCCCAAAGCAGCTGAGAAACTCGGGATATTATCGTTCGTTGCTACACGGAAAAAATGATTTTCGAAAGAAGCCTCATCGAGAAAATCGGGAACGCGATAAAGACGCTAACCAAGGAGTCCCTTTTCCGGGATCCGACGAATGAGTATTTTAAAGATTATTCTTGAGGGGTCCGAACGACGATTCCCGATTATTTGCTGGATGGTACTTTGCGAAGTTACCTCATCTTCACTCCCACGAAAGCTTCCGAGAGCTCTCCTGGATCGAGGTCAGAATAGACTCGCTAGTGGATCCTGACTCTGACCTCCTCAGCGAGGGCCTGGACTTTGTTGGAGATCGAGCGAACTTCATCGACCGCTAGCATGAAACTGTCCTTTTCACCTCCGAGCTCCGTAAATGCGACAATTATAGAATCCAGCCTATGGATGGATGCTCGTGCTCCACTAATTCTGTGTTCGATAGTGGGCGGGTGCTCCGGGTACGACTTTAGCGTACGTCGTTCATCGGGGCAGCGGCCCGTACCGGGGTTGGAGTAGTTTGTTTGGGACTCCTTCGGTCCGCGGATGATTAATATTTTGTCTAACGGTAAGCAAAAGCATCGAAATTCGGGGAATGTGCAAACAGAAACTTAGATGATTTATTTACAGAATGGTGCCCGTTTTCAAGCCTCCGAAGAGTCTAAAATCGCTTCTCCCAGAGATGAAGCCATATATGCCATCTGATCTTCCGGGCGATCTACTTCATCTCTTTCCGAACAGCGTCCTGTAATAACTGAGTATCGACGTCCTCGTGGGGCAGCTGAATATACCGGACGACGCTGCCTCGAATGAAGCAGTTCTTTACGGACTGTATATGAGGGTGCTTCTCCGGATCTGTGACTGATATGTCTACTAGCTTGATGTTCAGATACTGATCGACCGAGTGGAGGGTCCCGCAGATACTGATATCGTTTTTCAGTTCGACTACGACGTCCTTCCCGACGAGCGATTTGAAGAACGAGTAGAACAACATTCTGACCTCGGATCGATCTCACAAACCTGGAAATTAGCGAAAAAGGAATCGGTTAATTATCGAGCGTTTCTGGAGCTTCTGGGTCATTTCGACGACGCGAATCGGATCGCCCGGCGAGCGTCACTCTGTGGCGTGGGAGGCGTCTATCAGCAATCCAACACATGATCTCGAGCCCAACAATCATCATCACAGACAGCTCTGAAAGCGAGCTATTAGCAACGAGGACATTCGATGTTCTCACCTGGGAAAGTCGATCTCGTCGTGGTCGGAACTCGGCGAGATGATTTCCCAAGACAGAGAAAATTCAGGTTCCTCTCTATGTTCTTGAACTCCAGCTCTGACTTCCCTGGCGCGTCGTGCTCGCTCTCTTAGGCCTAACATGCGCCAAGCAATGAGCGAGAGAGCGAGCGAGCGAAGAGAGAGAAACGCGAGGAGAGAAAAGAGGCCACACAAAGCAATGAGCATCCGTCGTCCACCCGACAAACTATCCACGTTTCATTCATCGATTCTGCACAAGGTCCGTTTTGTATGGCACTGGTCTCGTCGTTGGAAATTCAGAGGATCTCGAATCCGTTCGCTTGGTCAGCCCACCACTCCGCTATTCCTAGTCCATGCGTACCTGATGACGGTCGGGTCTCCGCGGCTTCGATGGAATCGTCTCTCGATTTCGGTGACTCTTGGCATGCACAAGCCGTCAGAGGTGGCTGTGATACGCATTTAGACCGACGCGATTCCCAACCACTCTGACGCTTCTACACAACAGTGACGACTCCATCTTCTGTCCGTTTCTGTCTCCTGGCTTCGCGACATCGTGTTTGACGTGCACACCGGTAGCGGCTACCGTGCCCGGGCACGGCCGGTGGTTGACGTCTCTATCGCCGACGTGTTGTCGCGAAGGTTGTTGTGGATCGATTACTCAGAGCTCATCAAAGCTGGCTGTGATATGAATTTCAAAATTCATTTGACACATCAGCAGCCACTTTGACGCTCCGTCGTACCGCTCTCACTTCGCGATCAGGATGGACCTGGAAAGCTACCCACGATCGGAAGACCGAAACTCTAAGCATGCATCTACGCGAAAGGAGTTGACTAGTCTGGAGCTCCGAGAAGCCGAGAAGTGGATCATGCATTGGAACCTACGGTCAAGCAACTCGTGGATCCGAGCCGCCTCGCCCGAGTCAGAGGCTCATCATGAGACTGTGATATGATTCTCGATCGGAAATTGACATTTCACAGAATCAGGAGAGCTTATGCCCCGGGCTGAGAGATGGAACCGGGAGAAGAACCAGGCGGGACACGATCGATTTGAACGTTCGCAGGCGTATCTGTCGGAAGCTCATCTAGAATTACTGTGATATGAATTGATGACAGCAACAGATCGCAGTAATCCAGACGACTCCAGGAAGACATTGAACGGTAGTACATATGCCTGAACTCTACTGTCTATGCCCTGACAGCTCTACTGTCTACCCCTAACGTGGGCTGACCGCGGCGGGCCACTCCGCTACGTACAGAAAAAAACGCGCGCCACGAGCTCCGCATCCTCGTTGCGCTACGAGCGAAACTCGCAGCCACGGCGGAATCGGTTGTAGACGCGAAATGTGTTCCCGCTCTTCCCTTCAATTAATTCCGCACGTTCGAATACCGAACTCAGACTAGGAGAAACCGTCGGACCCCGTTAGAAATTCCGATACACGGTACCGATTCCTTGAGCGACGCTCACAAGTCTCGAGAGCACCGGCTCCGAAGAACTCGGGCCCGTTGCGAGCAGAGACAAACTATTTCGAGGACCGCGTGATTTCGAAACCGGTTTGACAGACTCATCAGCACTTGACTCCATCACTCCTGCACGTCCCAGATTGATTCGCAGGTGAGCACGATGCACCACAAGAACCGCTCTGCGATCTCCGAGAGCACGATGGGGGACGACCAACCCCCGTTGATCGTCACGACGTTGACACGAGTCGTGACGATTTCCGACGGGAAAGCTGACCATGCTCGTCGTGAATCGTTGACGACCAGGACAACAACGGCGGCGACGACGACAACTACGACAACGACGCTGAAAGTCTGTCGGATGCTTGTTCGTTTGTGGCCGTTTGTATGTGTGTGAGTGAGTGAGTGACTGTTCGCTACTGGCTCACACTCACTCGCCTACTTGGTGCTGCGTGGGGCTGTGTTGGTTCGTTCGCTCGCTCGCTCGCTCGTTCGCTCGCTGGTTCCCAACCAGAGCAACAGCGTGCGCTAGAGGATAGCGGGCTCGTCCGTCCGTCCGACCGACTGACTGGCTGCTCGGCTGCTACGAGCGAGACCTAGCAGGCTCTGAGGCGGGCAGTGAGCAACCCTCCGAGCGAGCTGGAGTCCCTTGCTCGCGGCAGTAGCATCGGTCTGTATGAGCGGTTGCCGCCGCCGCCGCCACCGGCCGTCGTCGTTCCTCCATCGGGAATGCTTGTCTGGTGTTGCTGTCGCTACCCGATGGATGCTGCATGCTTTGCTGGCCGGCTAGGTTCGCTATGGACAGCTCGTTTGTATGAGCGCCACAAGCAGCAGCAGCAGCAGAGCGGACGACGACAACCGAGTGTTTGGCTAGCTAGCTGAATCTTCCGACTCCACCCGGAATACGTTACGCGCGCGTCGTAGCCCGCCGCACAACATCGAATTAGCGTCGTCGAGCAAGTGAAAAGCATCATCACGACTTCCATTCGACTGTCTGTCTGCCTGTCCGTGCACCTATCCCGCAGTCTAAGGGGCAGAAAGCCAGCGAGCCGGACAGACGGGAGAGCACGCCAGAAGAAGGAAGCGCCACATACCGTTATTCCGTCCGTCCATCCGCGTCCGGAA